TAGTCTGGTTGCTGAGTCTGCGTCTGTCTGTCCTCCGTCCGTCGGGGGTGAGTGTGCTCTTGGCACGGACGTCCTTGAGGACAGGCACGAGGACCTTGAGTGTCTTGCAGCCGCTGCGCCTCATCTCGTGGCCATGCTGCTTGCCCCTGAGGGAGACCCGGATGCTATAGACATCCCCACACCGCGCTCTTACGCTGAGGCGATCGCGGGTGAGTACTCCTCTCAGTGGCAGGTAGCCATGGACGCAGAGATGGCATCCTGGAAGTCCACAGGCACTTACGTCGATGAGGTTCCCCCTCCCGGGGCGAACATCGTCGATGGCATGTGGATTTTCAGGGTGAAGCGGCCGCCAGGTTCTCCGCCTGTCTTCAAGGCGCGTTACGTTGCTCGAGGCTTCAGTCAGCGAGAGGGAGTTGACTTCTTCCACACCTTCTCCCCCACCCCGAAGATGACTACTCTTCGGGTGCTGCTGCACGTTGCCGCTCAGCGTGACTACGAGCTTCACTCCCTTGACTTCAGCACAGCTTTCCTACAGGGCAGCCTGCACGAGGAGATCTGGCTACGCCACCCACCTGGCTTCACTGGGTCGTTCCCTCCTGGTACCCAGTGGAGCCTCCGCCGGCCAGTCTACGGTCTCCGCCAGGCACCTCGTGAGTGGCACGACACACTGAGGACTACACTTGCGGCTCTTGGGTTTGCGCCTTCGACTGCTGACCCGTCACTGTTTCTGCGCACCAACACTTCGCTGCCGCCGTTCTATATCCTCGTGTACGTCGACGACTTAGTCTTTGCTACTGCTGACACTGAGGCCCTCGCCCTGGTGAAGTCCGAGCTGCAGAAGAGACACACGTGCACACACCTGGGTGAGCTGCGCAGCTACCTTGGCTTGCAGATCACCCGGGACCGAGCACGCCGCACCATCACACTGACTCAGTCACACATGGTGCAGCAGGTCCTTCAGCTTTTCGGCTTCACCTGGTCCTCGCCACAGTCCACTCCTCTGGCTACAGGTCACTCGCTCTCAGCTCCACCTTCGGACGAGTCCGTAGAGCCGAGTGGTCCTTACCCAGAGCTAGTGGGCTGCCTCATGTACCTAATGACTTGCACTCGTCCTGACCTTGCGTACCCTCTTGTGCACGTGTGTCTCTTCTGCAGCTCCGCCTTCACAAGGGCCAGTGCCTCAGTGTCAGCAGTAACAATGACCAAGTCTTCGACGTACACAAGGATGTAGAACGGCGGCAGCGAAGTGTCGGTGTGCAGAAACAGCGACGGGTCAGCAGTCGAAGGAGCAAACCCAAGAGCCGCAAGTGTCGTCCTCAGTGTGTTGTGCCACTCACGAGGTGCCTGGCGGAGACCGTAGACTGGCAAACGGAGGCTCCACTGGGTACCTGGAGGGAACGACCCAGTGAAGCCAGGTGGGCGGCGCAGCCAGATCTCCTTGTGCAGACTGCCCTGAAAGAAGGCTGTGCTGAAGTCCAGAGAGTGAAGCTCGTAGTCACGCTGAGCGGCAATGTGCAGCAGCACCCGAAGAGTGGTCATCTTCGGGGTGGGGGAGAAGGTCTGGAAGAAGTCAACTCCCTGTCGCTGACTGAAGCCTCGTGCAACGTAACGAGCCTTGAAGACAGGCGGAGAACCCGGCGGCTGCTTCACCCTGAAAATCCACATGCCATCAACGATGTTCGCCCCAGGAGGGGGAACCTTATCGACGTAAGTGCCCGTGGACTTCCAGGATGCCATCTTTGCGTCCATGGCTGTCTGCCACTGAGAGGAGTAGGGACCCGTAATCGCTTGTGCGTAAGAGCGCGGGGTTGGGATGTCTGGTGCATCCGGGTCTCCCTCAGGAGCAAGCAGCATGGCCACGAGATGAGGTATCGCAGCCGCAAGACACTCAAAGTCCTCCTGCCTGTCCTCAAGGACGTCCGTGCCAAGAGCACACTCACCCCTGACGGACGGAGGACAGACAGACCCAGACTCAGCAACAAGACTAGCAGCGTAGTCTAGACGACAGGCAGCAGCAAAGTCAACAAGCTCAGAGACTAGGGCAGACGCAGCAGTGGACTCAAACGAAGGGTTAGTGACAACAGTGGCCAACAGACGCGTGACAGTGGGATGAGCAGCACGAACCAGGTCAGACTCAGGGTCCGGAACGTCAGGCAGAGAAGACGCAGGAGGAGATGGCAGGTGAACACGCTGTGGAAGAGAGAAAGGACGAAGTGCCATAGTGTGCGTGCCGGGGACAGGAGGCGGACGCGGACGCGGGACTCGACGAGCACGGCGAACAGGCGAGGCAGGACGAGACGCAGGCTCACGACGCTCTGTAAGCGAGTCAGTCTGCTCAGTGTAAGGAGAAGGAGTGGGAAGTGGGGAGCTTGGCTGTAACGGGAGGCCAGTAGAAGACGGGAGGCTAAGAACCTGGCGAAGGACGGAGGCAGGCGGTGGCAGAGACGACGGTGACGGCGGAGCGAAAAACAGTCGCGGTTGCACAGTGTCGCTAGCACCAGTAGCGCCAGCGCCACAACGGCTCCAGAACCTCCAGCTCCAGCGCCTCCAGTAGCTCCAGAACCTTCAGCGCCAGCGTCTGCAGCAGCTCAAGAACCTCCAGCTCTAGCTCCTCGAGCGAACCAGAGCCTCCAGCTCCAGCGCCTCCAGCAGCTCCAGAATCGGCAGCTCCAGCGCCTCGAGCAGCTTCAGAACCTCCAGCTCCAGCGCCCCCAACAGCTCCGGGACCTCCAACTCCAGCGCCTCCAGCAGCTCTAGAACCTCCAGCTCCAGGCTCTCCAGCCCCAGTACCTCCATCAGCAGCACCCCCAGAACCACCACCTCCAGCTCCAGGTTCTCCAGCCTCAGTACCTCCAGCAGCAGCACCCCCAGAACCGGCACCTCCAGCTCTAGGGGCTCCAGCTCCAGTACCTCCAGCAGCAGCACCCCCAGAACCGGCACCGCCAGCACCAGGGTCTCCAGCCCCAGTATCTCTAGCAGCGCGACTCCGACGGCGGGTGCGCGAAGCAAGCCACTCGCGCAGCTGCTGTGGTGAGAGAGGTGGCCGCTGAGACGCGGCACCAGGAGGACCACCAAGAGACTCAGCACCCCCAGAACTAGCACCTCCAGCTCCAGCAGTACCACTAGTCTTGGCAGCTCCAGTACCCTCGGTACGAGCACGTCCAGAACTAGAAACTCCAGCACTCCCAGCGTCTCCACGACCACTAGCTCCAGCAGCTCCAGCAGCTCCAGCAGCTCCAGCAGCAGAAAGAGGGAGACCCGAAGGAACGCCAGCAGATTCAGCACCCCCGGACCCGGTACCCTCTGGCTCAGCACCCCCAGGCTCCGCACTCGCAGGCTCAGCACCCCCAGGCTCCGCACCCCCCAGTACCTCACGCACAGGCTCAGCATCCCTAGACGCAGCACCCCGAGCAGCACCAGAGTCAACCGGAAGCGGCTGCAGAGGCGGCGAAGACGGTCGAGGTGGAAAACCCGGAGGGGTCGCCAAGCGTGGTGAGCGGCGGGGGGGCACTGCGGCGTCAGCAGCAACGTCACCCCCCTCAGCTGGGCCAGAGGTGTCGGAAGTGACCTCGAAAGGCTCAGCCAAGGGGAGCGGGTATACTTGAGACACACCTGAAGGAGCAGGACCCTGAGGGGGGAGGGGGTCTATCGGAGGGGGACCTAGAGCGAGGAAAAGCGGCGGGGGAGGGAGAGGGGCAGTGCGGTAGGGGAAGAGACGGTAGAAAGGAACCGACTCGTCAAAGGAAACGTCATGGGAGGGGAAACCACGGCGCGAGGTGGGGCGGTAAAACTGCCAGCCAGGCGCGTCAGGGACAAAGCCAAGGAAGACACAGGGAATGGTGCGGGAGGAGAGCTTGTCCGCGGACGTATCGCGGACAAGGGCACGAGCACCCCAGACTCGGAAACGCGACGCATCGCCAACCTCTCCATTCCAACACAGTGTGGGCGAGGTGTCTGGCAAGGAGACACGGGGCCAGAGGTTGAGCTGATGCGCGGCGTACCGAACCGCAAACGGCCACAGAAAATGGGGAGCCGCCGCATGGATCAAGGAGGTACGAGCGATCTCCATGACCAAGCCAATGCGGCGCTCAACAACCCCATTTTGCTGCAGTGAGCCCGGAAGCGTGAACGACTGCTCGATGCCCTCCCCCTGACAGAAGGCCCGCAAGAGGTCGGAGGTGAACTCACCACCTCTGTCAGAGTGTAGACGCAGGACAGGAAGGTCCGTACGGAACCTCTCACGGAGCTGGAGACGAACTGCTCGGATCCAAGGGATCAGGACAGCAGGGACCTCACCCTTGGTGTGCAAGGGGAAGACCGTGGTGTAACGTGAGTAGTCGTCGACAACCAGCAGAAAGTACCGCTCACCGCCCTGTCCACGAACGCGGGCTGGGCCCCACACGTCCAGGTGGAGGGTCTGCAGGGGAGCCTTTGTCGAGAGAAACGAGGAGGAGTGAGGAGTAGCGCGCTGCCGCCCCTCGACGCAAGGAAGGCAGGGCGGCGCAGGCGAGGCAGGGAGGGGAGGGAGAGACCTGGGAAGACCAGACACAAGGAGGCGACGGTGCATGCCACGAGGGGAGGTGGAGACCTGACAGTGAGCCAGACGGGACCGCCGGGCACGGAAGCACAGTGGTGAATCGTGCAAGAAATGGGCCCCCTGAGGGGTCAGCCAGAGCGACGGCGACAGGCGCAGGGAGTGGTGTGAGTGCGGTACTGTCACAGAAGAAATAGCGGGAAGCACTTGAGTCAAGTGTGATGGTGTGCAAGGCCTCAGCAGGTGCAGTAACTTAGAGAGCCGACTCGCTCGCACCTAAGGCAGCAGCCTCTATACCTGGGTGAGCATACTCGCTCGCACCTAAGGCAGAAGCCTCTATAACTGGGTCAGGCGGCACACACAAGTAACAGTCACCCTCAGCACTATATTCCAATCCATGCATAGCAGAAATGATAACATCAAAGTCAAGTGCAAAAATGTCTACACCAGCCTTCCACAGCTCATGTCAGCGAGGGCTCTCACATTCCTCACCCATCTCCTCACGCCAAGCGTCGTCAAGGCGGGAGAAGCAGCGGTGCTGGGTGTGGAACTTGTTGCACGTCTGACCCTTACGGTCACCTATGCGAATGACATAAGGGCAGTGACCACCACCCCCAGATCTCCCACGCTGAGCAAGCCACTCACGAAGCTGCTGGGATGTCTGGGGACGCTGCTGCTGCTGCTGGCGCTGGCCAGCGCCAGTGCCTCCACCTCGGCCGCCACCGCCACCACCACCACCACCCCGGCCGCCTCCGCCGCTGCCACCGCCGCTGCCACCCCCGCCGCCACCCCCTCCGCTGCCACCGCCTCCACCGCCGCTATCGACGCTACCACTCCCGCCAGCACTCCCGCCACCAGTCCCTCCGTCACCTCCTCCTCCACCGCCTCCACCACCACCCCCCCCGGTGCCACCTCCGCTACCCTTGGCTCCCTTGCCCTTGCTGTTGCGACGCCTCCCACTAGGAGCAGAAGCAGCACCAGCAGACTCAGCACCAAGGAAGACGATAGCAGCAGCAGTAGCGAAGGAGGGGGCGAGGGGAGAGGGAGAGCACCCCTCAAAGATGGGGGTGCGAGGAGCGCCACGAGCAGCACCTACAGGGGCAATGCTTTTCTCTGCTGCAAGGAGTCGCGCTCCTCTAGGAGGTTGACAGTGAGCTCGGTGGGACAGCGAGCGAGAAAGTGGTCCCTGACCGAGCTGAGAGAGTCAGGGAGACGGGATACTATGAAGTGGAGGGTCCAGTACATCGGAGGCGGGTTCTTAGCTGCGAACTCTGTGGGGAGGGCGGTGTGAAGGCGAGTGTCACTAGTGCGAAGGTGGATAATGAGATCGGCAACTGTGTCAAAGGTGGACAGCTCAGGAAACAGGTAGGGCAGCATGAGGCGGCTAAGCGAAGCAGTGGCAGGGGAGGTGTAGCGAGCAACTACATCGACGTACAGGGCCTTAGTGGTTTTGTGTTCGCCAAAATGCTTGAGCTCGACTAACGGTAGATGGTTGCGAACAGCTAGGCGAGCAGCAGCGTCACGAGTCTGCCACTGGGAACGGGCGCTAAGCTCTGCTGTGGCAGCAGGAGCGACTGAGGCACCAGACGTGTGGTCGAAAAGTGAAACATTGTAACAGCTGCAGGTCATCTAGCCAGGTTTCAAACTGAATCGGGCGGCCCTCAGTGTCGAACGACAGAACGCGGAGGGTGGCCATAGCTGCTGGCGCGGGACTGGCAGGGCAGAGCGATAGCAAGCAAGCAGCTGTAGCAGGGGCGGCGCACTAGGCTTAAGCAGGCGGCCGCAGGAGGCAGCAAGGCAGGCGGTAAGCAGGGCTGCAGGGCGGGCCCCCACAAGGAGGTGCAGGGCAGCAAGACGAGCAGTGCGAGGGCGTAGCAGGCAGCCGCGGCAGCAAGGCGAGTGGCGCACGGGGCTGCGGGGCGGCTCAACGGGCAGCGCGAGGACGCAGCAGGCAGCCGCGGCAGCAGGGCGAGCGGCGCACGGGGCTGCGGGGCGATGCAACGGGTGGCGTGCGAGCGCAGCAGGCCGCCGCGACAGCAGGGTGGGCGGTGTGTGGGCGCAGCAGGCAGCCGCAGCAGCAGGGCGGGCGGCGCTTGGTGCTACGGGGCGACGCAACGGGCGGCGCGCGGGCACAGCAAGCAGCCGCGGCAGCAGGGCGGGCGGCGTGTGGGCGCAGCAGGCAGCCGCGGCAGTAGGGCGAGCGGCGCACGGGGCTGCGGGGCGACGCGACGGGCAGCGCGCGCGGGGCGTAGCAGGCAGGGCAGCGCGCTGGAAAAAAAAGACAAGCGCGCTGCAGCAGTGGCGCGCGGCCAGCAGGGGCAGCGCACAAGTGACGTGCTCTAGGCAGCGCGACGCAAGATAGGGCAGTGGGGTAATGGGGTAACTGCAGTTGGAATGGTGGGCCCTAAAAAACAGGTCCTTAGGAAGGGATGGTCTTTGACTATCGAGAGTGTTGGGTACAAATAGGAAAACCCTATACCCCACATTGGCTACCCCACTACAGCCTACATATAATTACAACACATATAATGTTTGACAGGTTGTTGATAAAAATGCTCTTGCGTTAATAACGTGTACGACGAGCAATGTGCTGCTAACCTATGCGGAGTCTTTAAGAAGACCCACGTGCCATACCTTTAGGAATGAACGGGAGTGTTGATATGACTGAATGTTTACATTTGCTTACCCGAAGGTATTGCAATAGCGCACTACACTCATACGGAACACGAGATGGTAGGAAGATGGAAATTCAACAGTCGAAAAGTCAACCGACTCTTGACTAACTGTGATCATCAGTTATGCAAATACACTTGGTAATTGTTTGGCATGGGAATAGTCACAGCTGAATACATTTTTTTTTTTGTTATTAACATCTTACCATTTACAGTCACCTTATCGAATAAGGTCTCTACAAGACTTCCACTGTTTTTGTTATCTAGCTCGTTATCCTGTCCAAAATTATAATAAAATAAGATGATAACAACATAATGTTCAAATAATTATAGCCATGTACTTATAGCTGCCCTACGTACCCCTTTGAGCCTCTCCCTGTCTATTCAGCCTTTTTAGGCTCCTCATCCAGGAAAGGGTAGTCGATGTACCCCTTGACCTGGTCCGGGATGAAGAAGGTGCTGCGGTCGTACGGGTTGAGCGGCGCGTTGAGCTCAAAGCGCTTCGGCAGGTCGGGATTAGCGAGGAAGAGACGGCCGTACGTGATCAGATCTGCCGCCCCGCTCTCAATGGCTTCCATTCCGTTCTCCCGCTGAGCGTTTGGACAATAGCAGACGGTTGGAGAGGGAAGGAAAAGAGAGCAGTGAGACGGTGGGGCGGAGGGGAGAGGAAGCATTTTGTGCAAAGGTGATCAAGGGAGCTTCGGTAGTGGCATGGCATAGATGACACAGATAGAAAAGATGTACGATGTATGTAATAATACATGGAGTGCATGAGGCCATGCAACTTGCATTACCGTGCTCTAGTTGCTGTACACTACACGATACCAGGCACCAGACCACCTCACAGTCAGCAGGAGCAGCAGCAATGACGGCTTTGTTGAAGGGCCACACAGGCCAGATGGGTCACAGGAGCATATGTGTAAGGGCCCCACGGGTCACACGGGTCACGGGAGCATACCTTGTAGCCGCCTGCAGCAATGAAGGGCCCCTTGAACGCCTTGCGGAATGGCTCCAGAGTCTGCAGATGGAGGAAGAGGAGTGAAGCAGGGGCAATGCAATGCGAATTCAAAGCCGCAACAATGGTAAGGGGATTGAAAATTTAGGAAGAAGAAAAGAAAGTGATGAAATCTGCAAGCACTCGAGCCCTCATCGAGCTCTTTTCAGGTAGACACCGACCAGGCAGCCGTCGAGCATCTCTGCAGAGGTCCTCTTTTCCTCCACGCACCTCTGTCACTCGCACTGCCTGCAAACCACTCAGCTCCTTCAAAACCCAACACCACCTACATGCCGCTCACCTCCTTCACATCTTCCAAGTCAGCGTTCCCCTGCGCGCGCGCCTCAATGAAGTGCACATACGCCAGGCCCAAGCCGTTGACGGCCTCCACCAGCCCCAGGTACGTGCCCACAGGGTCCGAGTCGGAAGCATCCAGGAAGGAGCTGTACGGCGACAGGCGCACGCCCACCTTGCTGGCGCCCACCTCGTCCGCCACTGCCTTGATCACCTGCAGGGGGGAAGAAGATGGGGGATGGAGGGGGGGATGACGTTTGAGTTTTCTGAAGAGCCACCTTGTCTGCCACTGCCTACACCACCTGGGGGCGGGGAATGTGGGGCTGTGTGGGGGAAAGGGGAGGGACAGTCAGTTCAACAGTGACCTCGTCCAGCGCTGCCTTTATCACGTGGGGAGTGTTGGGGAGGAGAGGGGAATGGGGGGAGGCGTGGGGGGGAGGAGAGGGGAATGGGGGGAGGCGTGGGGGGAAGGGGAGGGAAAAGCCTGCTCAATACTGACCTCGTCTGCCACTGCCTTGACCACCTGCACTGCAGGGGGGCCATGGGGGGACGCCGGGGTAGGAGATGGGGTAAGGAAGAAGGGAAGCTGTGTTGTCCGTAGGCTTTTGCGTCGACTCCCAAGTCTCCTTGCTGCCGCTCACCTCGTCCGCCACTGACTTATTTCCTTGTGGGGGGGAGAGGGCAGGGAGGGGATGCGGGAAGGAACAAGGGGATGCGATGGGGGGAGATGGGTGGAGGAAGGCGGGAGGAGGATATGGGTTGCGTATGGGGAAGGAGGGAGGAGGGGAAGAAAGAAGGAAGGTGTCACGGGCGGGTGGGTGGGTGTGGGAGAAGAGTGGAGATGGGAGGAGAAGAGTGGAGATGGGAGGAGAAGAGTGGAGATGGGAGGAGACGAGTGGAGATGGGAGGAGACGAGTGGAGATGGGAGGAGACGAGTGGAGATGGGAGGAGACGAGTGGAGATGGGAGGAGACGAGTGGAGATGGGAGGAGATTCAGACACCGCTCCTGCCATCGGGGTATGGAAGCAGGGGATGAGGAGGAAGGAGGGGATGAGGAGGAAGCAGGGGATGAGGAGGAAGCAGGGGATGAGGAGGAAGCAGGGGATGAGGAGGAAGGAGGGGATGAGGAGGAAGCAGGGGATGAGGAGGAAGGAGGAGATGAGGAGGAAGGAGGGGATGAGGAGGAAGCAGGGGATGAGGAGGAAGGAGGGGATGAGGAGGAAGCAGGGGATGAGGAGGAAGCAGGGGATGAGGAGGAAGGAGGGGATGAGGAGGAAGCAGGGGATGAGGAGGAAGCAGGGGATGAGGAGGAAGCAGGGGATGAGGAGGAAGGAGGGGATGAGGAGGAAGCAGGGGATGAGGAGGAAGCAGGGGATGAGGAGGAAGGAGGGGATGAGGAGGAAGGAGGGGATGAGGAGGAAGCAGGGGATGAGGAGGAAGCAGGGGATGAGGAGGAAGCAGGGGATGAGGAGGAAGGAGGGGATGAGGAGGAAGCAGGGGATGAGGAGGAAGCAGGGGATGAGGAGGAAGCAGGGGATGAGGAGGAAGGAGGGGATGAGGAGGAAGCAGGGGATGAGGAGGAAGGAGGGGATGAGGAGGAAGCAGGGGATGAGGAGGAAGGAGGGGATGAGGAGGAAGCAGGGGATGAGGAGGAAGCAGGGGATGAGGAGGAAGGAGGGGATGAGGAGGAAGCAGGGGATGAGGAGGAAGCAGGGGATGAGGAGGAAGCAGGGGATGAGGAGGAAGCAGGGGATGAGGAGGAAGCAGGGGATGAGGAGGAAGCAGGGGATGAGGAGGAAGCAGGGGATGAGGAGGAAGCAGGGGATGAGGAGGAAGGAGGGGATGAGGAGGAAGCAGGGGATGAGGAGGAAGGAGGGGATGAGGAGGAAGCAGGGGATGAGGAGGAAGGAGGGGATGAGGAGGAAGCAGGGGATGAGGAGGAAGCAGGGGATGAGGAGGAAGCAGGGGATGAGGAGGAAGCAGGGGATGAGGAGGAAGCAGGGGATGAGGAGGAAGCAGGGGATGAGGAGGAAGCAGGGGATGAGGAGGAAGCAGGGGATGAGGAGGAAGCAGGGGATGAGGAGGAAGCAGGGGATGAGGAGGAAGCAGGGGATGAGGAGGAAGCAGGGGATGAGGAGGAAGCAGGGGATGAGGAGGAAGCAGGGGATGAGGAGGAAGCAGGGGATGAGGAGGAAGCAGGGGATGAGGAGGAAGCAGGGGATGAGGAGGAAGCAGGGGATGAGGAGGAAGCAGGGGATGAGGAGGAAGCAGGGGATGAGGAGGAAGCAGGGGATGAGGAGGAAGCAGGGGATGAGGAGGAAGCAGGGGATGAGGAGGAAGCAGGGGATGAGGAGGAAGCAGGGGATGAGGAGGAAGCAGGGGATGAGGAGGAAGCAGGGGATGAGGAGGAAGCAGGGGATGAGGAGGAAGCAGGGGATGAGGAGGAAGCAGGGGATGAGGAGGAAGCAGGGGATGAGGAGGAAGGAGGGGATGAGGAGGAAGGAGGGGATGAGGAGGAAGGAGGGGATGAGGAGGAAGGAGGGGATGAGGAGGAAGGAGGGGATGAGGAGGAAGCAGGGGATGAGGAGGAAGCAGGGGATGAGGAGGAAGCAGGGGATGAGGAGGAAGCAGGGGATGAGGAGGAAGCAGGGGATGAGGAGGAAGCAGGGGATGAGGAGGAAGGAGGGGATGAGGAGGAAGCAGGGGATGAGGAGGAAGCAGGGGATGAGGAGGAAGCAGGGGATGAGGAGGAAGCAGGGGATGAGGAGGAAGCAGGGGATGAGGAGGAAGCAGGGGATGAGGAGGAAGCAGGGGATGAGGAGGAAGGAGGGGATGAGGAGGAAGCAGGGGATGAGGAGGAAGGAGGGGATGAGGAGGAAGCAGGGGATGAGGAGGAAGCAGGGGATGAGGAGGAAGCAGGGGATGAGGAGGAAGCAGGGGATGAGGAGGAAGCAGGGGATGAGGAGGAAGCAGGGGATGAGGAGGAAGCAGGGGATGAGGAGGAAGGAGGGGATGAGGAGGAAGGAGGGGATGAGGAGGAAGGAGGGGATGAGGAGGAAGGAGGGGATGAGGAGGAAGCAGGGGATGAGGAGGAAGCAGGGGATGAGGAGGAAGCAGGGGATGAGGAGGAAGCAGGGGATGAGGAGGAAGCAGGGGATGAGGAGGAAGCAGGGGATGAGGAGGAAGCAGGGGATGAGGAGGAAGCAGGGGATGAGGAGGAAGCAGGGGATGAGGAGGAAGCAGGGGATGAGGAGGAAGGAGGGGATGAGGAGGAAGCAGGGGATGAGGAGGAAGCAGGGGATGAGGAGGAAGCAGGGGATGAGGAGGAAGCAGGGGATGAGGAGGAAGCAGGGGATGAGGAGGAAGCAGGGGATGAGGAGGAAGCAGGGGATGAGGAGGAAGCAGGGGATGAGGAGGAAGGAGGGGATGAGGAGGAAGCAGGGGATGAGGAGGAAGCAGGGATGAGGAGGAAGCAGGGGATGAGGAGGAAGGAGGGGATGAGGAGGAAGCAGGGGATGAGGAGGAAGGAGGGGATGAGGAGGAAGCAGGGGATGAGGAGGAAGGAGGGGATGAGGAGGAAGCAGGGGATGAGGAGGAAGGAGGGGATGAGGAGGAAGCAGGGGATGAGGAGGAAGCAGGGGATGAGGAGGAAGCAGGGGATGAGGAGGAAGGAGGGGATGAGGAGGAAGCAGGGGATGAGGAGGAAGGAGGGGATGAGGAGGAAGCAGGGGATGAGGAGGAAGGAGGGGATGAGGAGGAAGCAGGGGATGAGGAGGAAGGAGGGGATGAGGAGGAAGCAGGGGATGAGGAGGAAGGAGGGGATGAGGAGGAAGCAGGGGATGAGGAGGAAGGAGGGGATGAGGAGGAAGCAGGGGATGAGGAGGAAGCAGGGGATGAGGAGGAAGCAGGGGATGAGGAGGAAGCAGGGGATGAGGAGGAAGCAGGGGATGAGGAGGAAGCAGGGGATGAGGAGGAAGCAGGGGATGAGGAGGAAGCAGGGGATGAGGAGGAAGCAGGGGATGAGGAGGAAGGAGGGGATGAGGAGGAAGCAGGGGATGAGGAGGAAGCAGGGGATGAGGAGGAAGCAGGGGATGAGGAGGAAGCAGGGGATGAGGAGGAAGCAGGGGATGAGGAGGAAGCAGGGGATGAGGAGGAAGCAGGGGATGAGGAGGAAGGAGGGGATGAGGAGGAAGCAGGGGATGAGGAGGAAGCAGGGGATGAGGAGGAAGCAGGGGATGAGGAGGAAGCAGGGGATGAGGAGGAAGCAGGGGATGAGGAGGAAGCAGGGGATGAGGAGGAAGCAGGGGATGAGGAGGAAGCAGGGGATGAGGAGGAAGGAGCAGGGGATGAGGAGGAAGCAGGGGATGAGGAGGAAGCAGGGGATGAGGAGGAAGGAGGGGATGAGGAGGAAGGAGGGGGATGAGGAGGAAGCAGGGGATGAGGAGGAAGCAGGGGATGAGGAGGAAGCAGGGGATGAGGAGGAAGCAGGGGATGAGGAGGAAGCAGGGGATGAGGAGGAAGCAGGGGATGAGGAGGAAGCAGGGGATGAGGAGGAAGCAGGGGATGAGGAGGAAGCAGGGGATGAGGAGGAAGCAGGGGATGAGGAGGAAGCAGGGGATGAGGAGGAAGCAGGGGATGAGGAGGAAGCAGGGGATGAGGAGGAAGCAGGGGATGAGGAGGAAGCAGGGGATGAGGAGGAAGCAGGGGATGAGGAGGAAGCAGGGGATGAGGAGGAAGGATGAGGAGGATGAGGAGGAAGGAGGGATGAGGAGGAAGGAGGGATGAAGAGGAAGGAGGGGATGAGGAGGAAGGAGGGAGTAGGAACGGGGCGACGGAGCACAAGGGGAAGGAGGAGGCGGGCAGGAAGGAGGGGGGAGGAGGAGAAGGGGTGGGGAAAGAGCCTGATTTCAACATTTCATCAAGGCTCCACCTTAATCATTAACAGCAGAAATAGAAGGATTAGCAGACTAGTCCCAAGGAACCAAGCACTTAATCATCCCCAGCGCTAGTGGCTGTAGACTAACACAACAATCACCCCCCTTAGAGTCACACCAGCCTGACCCACCTGCAGGGGGAATCGAAGCCTGTTCTCCAGGGAGCCGCCAAACTCGTCCTCACGCTTGTTGATACCGTCCTGGTGGTGGGGAGAGGAGAGGGGAGGCGGAATCGGGGGGACGGGGGTAAAAGCATGACGGAGGGTTGTTGAGGGAGTGGGAATAATAGGTAAGGCACGCTGCATCCAAACTTGACCTTGTGCTCGTTGTTCCTGCATGATGTGGTGCATGATGTGGTGCATGATGTGGTGCATGATGTGGTGCATGATGAGGTGCATGATGTGGTGCATGATGTGGTGCATGATGTGGTGCATGCTGTGGTGCATGATGTGGTGCAAGATGTGGTGCATGATGTGGTGCATGATGTGGTGCATGATGCGGTGCATGATGTGGTGCATGATGTGATGCATGATGTGGTGCATGATGCGGTGCATGATGTGGTGCATGATGTGATGCATGATGTGGTGCATGATGCGGTGCATGATGTGGTGCATGATGTGATGCATGATGTGGTGCATGATGCGGTGCATGATGTGGTGCATGATGTGGTGCATGATGTGGTGCATGATGCGGTGCATGATGTGGTGCATGATGTGATGCATGATGTGGTGCATGATGCGGTGCATGATGTGGTGCATGATGTGATGCATGCAATGCAGATCTGGAGACAGGAGCGAATCTCCTAGCAGCTTATGCCATGAAGTGCATTGAACTGTCCTTTTTCTACCATACTCATGCGAGCTGAAATTAGCAAGACCAACTCACATGTATGAGCCCCACTCATCCCACCTTTTTGTGCCTCAATGTGAGAATTAAAAACAAATACAAGTAGTATAGGCTTATGACTGGAATCCAACATAACTATTTCACCAAGGATTGAACCGTAGTTAGTTTCCAGCATCCAGGCTCCGCGATACACTCACGGCTGTGTCACGGCAATGTTACCAGATGAACTGCTCCAGGCAGGTACCCGTTCGCTGCGGTAATCCGAAAAGTTACAGATTCGCACGAATCTCCACCATCCGCCACTCCCCACGTTCAATACTCCCCTGCACTAGAATGAGCCACGGTCGTCTCACCTTGATGAACTGCTCCAGCAGGTAGCCGTTCGCGCCATGCACCTCCACGCCGTCGAACCCCGCGTCAATCGCGTTGCGCGCCGCCACGCGGAACTGCTCCACCACCTGGAGGATCCACCCACGCCGGAAATTGCAACGAGGGAAAATTCATAGTGAACGGATATGGAACCAGGGAAGTGAGATGCCTGAGACAGATGCTGGAAGAGCATGGAGCATGGAAGAGCATGGAGCATGGAAGAGCATGAAATGGGAAACTAGAGGCCGCGCAGCCGGCGCCCAGTACTACTGCTGGATAGCCTGGAGTCTTTGCGCTGGGAAGTGCGATGATGGAAAGGTGAACAATGGAGATGCTTCAAACGGTATGCGTGTGGAGAAACTCTGGCGCGCACCCTGCGCGCACCCTGCGCGCACCCTGCGCGCACCCTGCGCACACCCTGCGCGCACCCTGCGCGCACCCTGCGCGCACCCTGCGCGCACCCTCGCGGTGCTGCCCAACCCACGCGGTGCTTCTAGCTTGCTCGGTCGCGCGGCACTCCTCGATCGCGCGGTACCGTTCGGTCACCTGGATTCGCCAGAGTAAAGCGGCGCGAGTCGCTCGGAGCAGGACCGGCGATATAGCGGAAAGTGATAGGGCCATGCGATGCGCTCACGTGATGCAGCGAGCACCGCTGTGGTGCCTCGCTTGCCACTTGAGTCCCGCCCGAAAAGGATTCAACTACGTGTAGGGTTTAGGACGTCCACTCCGTCCCCGTACCTCCGATTGCCTGTCTGTCTCTGTACCTTCTTAATCTCTTCAGCGGTCATGGCCCGCGGTGTGGGATAGTCGGCGGGGCCAGTGCTGATGTACACTTTGATCTCGCCGCTACTGATAGGAATGGCGGACGGGGCCATGGGCGCGGCGCCATCAGGCTGGTACTCTGCTCGCAGTGGGGGGTTCAGAATGGACGACGAGGAACGACAGTTGGTGACGGAGAACGATCGACGCGAAAAGAAAGGGAATTACCATGTCGGTACGTATCGAGATAGTAAGCTATTCGAAACTGTGAGGGGACGAAGCGAGGAGAACAAAAAATGAGGGGATGAGCAAGGTCTCTTTTTTCTCACTCTCCCTCCATCTCGATTTTTTGCCAACGTGGGGAATTTTACGACTGAAACGCGAGATTATTGACTAGAAAATCACCAGCTCGAAGCGAATCGTCGTCAGGCGTACCATTGACGACAACTCTCAGGCTCCGCGATAATTGCCCACATCGGTCAACCTTCCACCATCGGAGGCAACAATGCCGGAGGCGCCTCATTTTGTCGTCATTATTGCGATCGGTCGACGTCGTCGAAGAAAGAAGCACGAGTGGGATTCACCTTGGTGCGACGCGCGGCCGACGTGCCACAGCTGGCAGTAGAAGCGCGCGCCCTTGTCGTGCACGGCCTTGATCACCGGCTTCCACGCCGCGATCTGCGCCTCCGTGTAGATCCCCGGGGTGTCGGGGTACCCGTGCGCCTCGGGCGAGATACACGTGCCTTCGGTGAGCATGAGCCCGCCCTTGTGCGCGCGCTGCGAGTAGTAGATCGCGGCGTTCGGCTGTGGGATGGTCCCGAGGGCGCGGTCACGCGTCAACGGCGCGTAGACGATGCGCATTGAGAGCTCCGTGCCATCCGGTAAAGTGAACGGCGTGAGGAGCGGGTTAGGCTTGGCCGATGCCATGATGACTCGCGCAAACTGGGAGGACCCCGACGGACAGAGCAGAGGTGTTGAGACTTTTGCCGCTCGGAGGAGCTTAGCAGGCGCAAACAGGGTTGCAATGCGAAGCCTAGTACTACTGACTGAGTGGCGTCAGTAGGAGTAAGTACGCGTACAGATTGCGCCTCAGGTCAAGATGAGATTGTTCAGGTGACCTGGACGTGCCGATCACTGCAAACCGCGACACTCCATGCTTGTGTGGCTGTGGGGTGGGTGCGTTTGGTTCGGTGTTGGGTGGTGTGGCGGGGTTCGGTTTTGTGACTGGCAGGCTGGTTTGGTACAGTAGACGACAGCCAGGCTGAGTGAATCGAGATGCTTCCATTCTTGAAAAGAAACTTCGAGGAATGGCATATCACAGTTGTCTTTTCCAGGGAGCTTCGTGGCATTTCGCATTTCGGGGGTGTTACGGCAAAATAATGGTGATGTCATCGAATCCCCAGTTGAGAACCACCGCTATAAAGTTCGGATGTCATCTGGTTCACGTCCATAAACTTCCGTGTCTTTCTGGTGTTGTGCCTTGTATTCTCATATATTCCCATCAATATCTGAGGACCTTAGAGATGGGGATACATGCAAGCTCAACCTAATATTATGCTTTTAATTGAAACATGCACAGTACCAGTGCGGAACTTTGACTTAAATCGCCTATGCGTTTGCCACATTTTCGGATTTCAAGAGTGCGACAAAATCTACGCGTCACTACGTCGTTTCTTCTTGCTGCCGAGGTGGCGAATAAACGTCCGCACGCTATCATGTGCATCTGCACGAACAACAAACTTTCTCTTCTTGCTGTCTTTCCACAGCAATGCTCCAATCTGTTGCGCATGCTTAACGATAGCCTCAAACACTTCCTGCAGAAAATCTCGAGGGCACAAATCAGACAAGCGTGTAAGCGCATGTTCAATTGGTTCAGGAGAGGGACAAGGCGAATCACATGAGAAGGATGGAATTGCCTGATGAGAAATTAGCCGATAGGTGGACACATTTGGAAACATGTGTGCATGTGGAATGCAAACCCTTTATCCATACTCTCTACAAACTCCGCCATGCGTCATGGTATTGAAATTCGCCTGGTTGGGAAATGCCAGAGCCGGATTCAACTCTGGCAACAGCTCACCTGAGTGGGGAGCGGCCATGGCTGTTAAAGTGTATCTGGGCGGGTTCACCTTGTTGGAATCACGTGGGCGGGCCCACCTTGTTGGAATCACCTGGGTGGGCTCACATTGTTGGAATCTCCTGCAGAATCACCTGGGTGGGGAGCAGCCATACCTCACCTTGTTGAAATCACCTGGGTGCGCTCACCTTTGCTGGTATCACCTGGGGAATCACCTGGGTGGGGAAGTCGTCGTAGAGCACAGCAGCAGTAGTGGCCACTCGATTGCGATCAAACTCCCACAGGCGGATCTGATGCACACAGTGCAGTGGGGCAGCACGGAGGTGATACTAGGAAGAATGGGCAACTGAGAACTGAGAGAAAGAGCAAATGAGCAAATGACAAATGGGCAGTTTAACAAGCTTTGCTGACAGATTTGAGACTCAGTAGGAAAAAGTTGACAAAGGTGCTCAAAGTGAGATGTTATGTGATGGAACGTGGAGTATCAGCTAATACTAGACGGTGGGGTATGGCAGTGTAAGATGATATATGATTGTGCAAAATAGCTCGTTGACGTCAGATGGTGTACAATGCTTTGAAAATGGGTATGGTATGAGAAGAGACCATATGATACACCACTCACACCACACCACACGCAGCACGCACACACCACAGATCAACCAGCACACAAAAAACACAGAACTCAACAGCACACAGCACAGCACCACACAACACCGCACAGAACCGCACAGAACCGTACAGAACCACACAGCACCTGGTCCACCACTGTCTCGGGCACCACTGGGGCCTTGGTGGCCACGAGAGGATGAGCATTCTTCCGCACGTACTGCACTATCTGGTGGATGGGGTGGTGAGAGGGGAGGGAGGGGGGGAGGGGGTCAGAGAGGGGAGGAGGGATAAGAGCATTCGATGAGCGTTCTTCCGCATGTACTGCACTATCTGGTGGTTTGGGGGGGGGGCTGGGGTGAGGGTAAAGAGAAGAGGAAGGGGGAAATGGAAAGTGGAAAGGGCGGAAGAGCATTTGAGCATTGAAAGGGCAGTGTTGCAGACGCACTGCACCTGCAGTGGGGGCTGGGGAGCGAGGGGGGGGGGGAAGGGGAGAGGAGGGGTAGCAGCCTCGATGCATGTACATTTGCACGTACTGCAATATTAGGTGCTTTGGGCGTAGGAGGGGGGGGGGGGGGACAAGAGCATTGCAAGGGCGTTCTTGTGCACACACTCCACTGCACTGCACTGCACTGCACTGCACTGCACTGCACTGCACTGCACTGTCTGGTGTTTGGGGGTGTGGAAGAGAGGGGGGAGGGGTGGAACGATGTGAGCATGACAAAGGCGCTGTGCTGCAATGTGTGGTGCCACAAGTTGGAGGGTAGGTAGGTGGGTTGGCAGCACAAGGGCAGAGAGCATGGAAGGAGAGAAGGGCAGAGAGCATGGAAGGAGAGAAGGGCAGAGAGCATGGAAGGAGAGAAGGGCAGAGAGCATGGAAGGAGAGAAGGGCAGAGAGCATGGAAGGAGAGAAGGGCAGAGAGCATGGAAGGAGAGAAGGGCAGAGAGCATGGAAGGAGAGAAGGGCAGAGAGCATGGAAGGAGAGAAGGGCAGAGAGCATGGAAGGAGAGAAGGGCAGAGAGCATGGAAGGAGAGAAGGGCAGAGAGCATGGAAGGAGAGAAGGGCAGAGAGCATGGAAGGAGAGAAGGGCAGAGAGCATGGAAGGAGAGAAGGGCAGAGAGCATGGAAGGAGAGAAGGGCAGAGAGCATGGAAGGAGAGAAGGGCAGAGAGCATGGAAGGAGAGAAGGGCAGAGAGCATGGAAGGAGAGAAGGGCATGCTGCATAGAACAAGTGCTAATATTACAGCATGTTTGAAAACATAAATGTGCATTTTCGGTGACGTTTGTAAGTGGGTTGGCTGTAAAGCTTCCATCCCCAGACCACCCTATCCAACCCTATCCAACCCTATCCAACCCTATCCATCCCTATCCAACCCTATCCATCCAGATCTGTATGACTTGGATGAATCGTCATGAGCTCTCTCATTGATTCACCTTTATCCCTTTGATGCTTCAAGGTATTCTCGACTAAAGTAGCTTGCTCTCCTGGTGAATTGATACTTCTGCTCACAATTTTCCACTGCTTGTGAGCGTCCCTTCACGTCTGTTGAAACCACCTGAGCATCCCACCCGCCCTGCTGAAACCACCTGAGGACCCCACCTGTTCTGCAACGATGCCGAGGGCAAGGGCGTTGTTGACAGTCTCTCGGTTCATCACTCCCACCACCAGGTTGGGCAACCGATACTCCAGCCTGCGAGGAAGAGGGAGAGGTGAAGCAGAGGCAAAGGAGGCTTATCAGTCGACCAAAAAAGCTAGAAGTCACCTCGGTTCATCACCCCCTCCACTGGGTTGAGCAGCCAGCACCCCAGCCTGTGAAGGGTGAGCGGCGACTTTTGAGTAGACTAAAAAATCACCCCATCCACCAGGTTCAGCAGCCAGTACTCGAATGTGCAGAGGCGGCAAATGGCCTGAATTTTCGCCTTGAGGTACTCCAGCCTGTGAAGGGTGAGCAGCAGAGGTGGAAAGGGCGGACATAGAGAGGCGCCAGGGAGGCAGAGGCAGGCAGGGAGAGAGACAACGCAAAGTGACACATGGCAATGACAGTCTCTGGGTTCATCACTCCCACCACTAGATTGGGCAGCCGACGCTCCGGCCAGCGAGGGGTGAGGCAGGGGGGGAGGGAGTGACAGTATGGGAGAGGCAACGAGGGGATTTGGAGTCGAGTCCCAAGTCACCTCGGTAACTTGGTTCTGACTCCCCCCACCCGATTGGGCAGATGATACTTCCACCTGGGCAGGGCGTGAGGGAGACGCAGAGGCAGGGAGGGAGAGGCAGGGAGCGAGAAAATGAGAGGCAGAGAGGGAGAGGCAGGTAGATACTGCAAATGGCATTTGGCATTGGAGGGGAACACGAGCAGTAATCCTGTTGCACGGCAGTCTGGGAGGTCAGTCTGGGAGGTCAGTCTGGGAGGTCAGTCTGGGAGGTCAGTCTGGGAGGTCAGTCTGGGAGGTCAGTCTGGGAGGTCAGTCTGGGAGGTCAGTCTGGGAGGTCAGTCTGGGAGGTCAGTCTGGGAGGTCAGTCTGGGAGGTCAGTCTGGGAGGTCAGTCTGGGAGGTCAGTCTGGGAGGTCAGTCTGGGAGGTCAGTCTGGGAGGTCAGTCTGGGAGGTCAGTCTGGGAGGTCAGTCTGGGAGGTCAGTCTGGGAGGTCAGACTGGGAGGTCAGTCTGGGAGGTCAGTCTGGGAGGTCAGTCTGGGAGGTCAGTCTGGGAGGTCAGTCTGGGAGGTCAGTCTGGGAGGTCAGTCTGGGAGGTCAGTCTGGGAGGTCAGTCTGGGAGGTCAGTCTGGGAGGTCAGTCTGGGAGGTCAGTCTGGGAGGTCAGTCTGGGAGGTCAGTCTGGGAGGTCAGTCTGGGAGGTCAGTCTGGGAGGTCAGTCTGGGAGGTCAGACTGGGAGGTCAGTCTGGGAGGTCAGTCTGGGAGGTCAGTCTGGGAGGTCAGTCTGGGAGGTCAGTCTGGGAGGTCAGTCTGGGAGGTCAGTCTGGGAGGTCAGTCTGGGAGGTCAGTCTGGGAGGTCAGTCTGGGAGGTCAGTCTGGGAGGTCAGTCTGGGAGGTCAGTCTGGGAGGTCAGTCTGGGAGGTCAGTCTGGGAGGTCAGTCTGGGAGGTCAGTCTGGGAGGTCAGTCTGGGAGGTCAGTCTGGAAGGTCAGTCTGGGAGGTCAGTCTGGGAGGTCAGTCTGGGAGGTCAGTCTGGGAGGTCAGTCTGGTCTGTCCTTCATATCGCACAGCAACAACTTGCATTCAAGGCCTTCCTGCATGAAGGGTGAGCAACTGTCGCCTTCCACATCATAAGTGTGTGCGTGTATGAAGAGTACTTTCGAGACGTCTCAAAAATAATCTTCATACACGTGACGTTCCCCATGCGGATGTTTGTACGACATGGAGAGGAGAGTGAGAGGCGAATACCTCAAGCAATATGATTCCATTTGAGAGGGGCGAATACTAAGTAAATCCATAATTGCCCTAGAGGGGCGTACCTCATGAAGAAAGAGATAATTTCTGCCTGCAGCTTGGGCTGCGTGTACGCGTTCACTCTGAACTGAGCAGCAGAGGGACGTAGCTCACGAACAGTGAAACTCCAACTCTGCTGATTCTCCCCACGTGAACCCTCAGTGACCAACTCAGATGGACGTACGCACCTCATGAAGAGGGAGAGGATTTCCGCCTGCAGCTTGGACTGCGTGTATGCATACACTCTGAAGTTGGTCTCCACCACTATAAAGCCCTGCCACGCTAGGGGGTGAGCAGGGAACGATACAGATGGGCGCGAGAGTCAGTGAGTGCATGACAGAGAGGGATCGAGAGGGATTGATGGATTGCGCGAGTGAAAGGGTTTTCGCCTGCAGCTTGGACTGCGTGTATGCTTACACTGCAGTTGGTCTCCACCACTATGAAGCCCTGCCGTGCTAGCTAGGGTGCATATGGGTGGGTGAGTGAGAGAGTGAGTAAGTGTGCGGGTGACTGGGCGAGTGAGAGAGAAGAGCATGTAAAGTTGGTGTTTGACCACATTGAAGTGCTGAGTGCAGGCGAGCAGTGAGTGTGAGGGGCAACGAGTGGGGAACGACGGGGGAAAGGACGGAAGGCAAGAAAGCGGAGGCCCGTTGCAAACTACAAACCCCAGCTGTGCTTACAGCTCTTGGCGACAGCTCAAGCAAGCACTGTGCTGCAATGCAATGCGAGATCGCGCTCCCTCTCACCTCTGAATCTGACGTGGCGGATTCTGATAGGCTGGAGGAGAGCGCAGCTGCAAGGTGCGTTGGGATGAACCACTGGTCGTGCCTCCCCTGCGATGCGGGTGACAGTGTGGTGCGGTGTGGTGTGGTGTGGTGCGGTGTGGTGTGGTGTGGTGTGGTGTGTGTGTGGTGTGGTATGGTGCAGTGTGAAGGGTATGAATGACACAGTAGGGAGGTTAATGACATGCTGACAGCATGCAGCGGGATATGAGTCAGGTCAGGCCATAATGCAGACAGGTCGGGCCATAACGCAGACAGGTCGGGCCATGATGCTCGGGGCAGGGAGTCATTCGATATAGTTTCAATGCCCACCGCCTTGGTGTATGTCTTCTGGGCAGAAAGGGTAGAGGTGAAGTGCGGGCAACAGCGCACCTCGTGTGTGAGCAGAGAAGGGTTAAAGGTTTATGGCTCACGAAGCCCAGCTGGGCGGTCGATCTCCTCCACCACCTGCTGCTGGTATACAGTTGAAATCGGTTCCATGCCCACCGTATGCGAGGCACGGAGTATGGCATACGCCAAGTGCAGACGACAGCGCACCTTCTGTGTGAGCACGCACCTTCTGCGTGAGCACGCACCTTCTGCGTGAGCACGCACCTTCTGCGTGAGCACGCACCTTCTGCGTGAGCACGCACCTTCTGTGTGAGCACGCACCTTCTGTGTGAGCACGCACCTTCTGTGTGAGCACGCACCTTCTGTGTGAGCACGCACCTTCTGTGTGAGCACGCACCTTCTGCGTGAGCACGCACCTTCTGTGTGAGCACGCACCTTCTGTGTGAGCACGCACCTTCTGTGTGAGCACGCACCTTCTGTGTGAGCACGCACCTTCTGTGTGAGCAGCACCTTCTGCGTGAGCACGCACCTTCTGTGTGAGCACGCACCTTCTGCGTGAGCACGCACCTTCTGCGTGAGCACGCACCTTCTGCGTGAGCACGCACCTTCTGCGTGAGCACGCACCTTCTGCGTGAGCACGCACCTTCTGTGTGAGCATGCACCTTCTGTGTGAGCACGCACCTTCTGTGTGAGCACGCACCTTCCGCGTGAGCACGCACCTTCTGTGTGAGCACGCACCTTCTGTGTGAGCACGCACCTTCTGTGTGAGCACGCACCTTCTGTGTGAGCACGCACCTTCTGCGTGAGCACGCACCTTCTGCGTGAGCACGCACCTTCTGTGTGAGCACGCACCTTCTGTGTGAGCACGCACCTTCTGTGTGAGCACGCACCTTCTGTGTGAGCACGCACCTTCTGTGTGAGCACGCACCTTCTGTGTGAGCACGCACCTTCTGTGTGAGCACGCACCTTCTGTGTGAGCACGCACCTTCTGTGTGAGCACGCACCTTCTGCGTGAGCACGCACCTTCTGTGTGAGCACGCACCTTCTGTGTGAGCACGCACCTTCTGCGTGAGCACGCACCTTCTGCGTGAGCACGCACCTTCTGCGTGAGCACGCACCTTCTGCGTGAGCACGCACCTTCTGCGTGAGCACGCACCTTCTGCGTGAGCACGCACCTTCTGCGTGAGCACGCACCTTCTGCGTGAGCACGCACCTTCTGCGTGAGCACGCACCTTCTGCGTGAGCACGCACCTTCTGCGTGAGCACGCACCTTCTGCGTGAGCACGCACCTTCTGCGTGAGCACGCACCTTCTGCGTGAGCACGCACCTTCTGCGTGAGCACGCACCTTCTGCGTGAGCACGCACCTTCTGTGTGAGCACGCACCTTCTGTGTGAGCACGCACCTTCTGTGTGAGCACGCACCTTCTGTGTGAGCACGCACCTTCTGTGTGAGCACGCACCTTCTGTGTGAGCACGCACCTTCTGTGTGAGCACGCACCTTCTGGGTGAGCACGCACCTTCTGTGTGAGCACGCACCTTCTGTGTGAGCACGCACCTTCTGTGTGAGCACGCACCTTCTGTGTGAGCACGCACCTTCTGTGTGAGCACGCACCTTCTGTGTGAGCACGCACCTTCTGCGTGAGCACGCACCTTCTGCGTGAGCACGCACCTTCTGCGTGAGCACGCACCTTCTGTGTGAGCACGCACCTTCTGTGTGAGCACGCACCTTCTGTGTGAGCACGCACCTTCTGTGTGAGCACGCACCTTCTGTGTGAGCACGCCACATCTGTGTGAGCACGCACCTTCTGTGTGAGCACGCACCTTCTGTGTGAGCACGCACCTTGTGTGTGAGCATGCACCTTGTGTGTGAGCACGCACCTTGTGTGTGAGCACGCACCTTGTGTGTGAGCACGCACCTTGTGTGTGAGCACGCACCTTGTGTGTGAGCACGCACCTTGTGTGTGAGCACGCACCTTCTGTGTGAGCACGCACCTTCTGTGTGAGCACGCACCTTCTGTGTGAGCACGCACCTTCTGTGTGAGCACGAAGCCCAGCTGGGCGATCTCGTCCACCACCTCGTGCTGCATGCTGGTTAGCGTTGACATGCTGTATGGCTGCTCTGGGCATGCATGGGTGCTCGCATGGGTGCATGCATGTGTGCAAGCATGTATGTATGGCCAGGTCAGCACAGCAGGCACGAACGATCCCCAACCATCACCAGTTGGTCGCATGCCAGTAGGTGTTTACATGCTGTAGGGCGGGCGGGCGGCTTGTGCGTGTGGTTGCATGGAGAGATGGGCAGATGGGAACATGTGTGGATGGGAACATGTGTGGATGGGAACATGTGTGGATGGGAACATGTGTGGATGGGAACATGTGTGGATGGGAACATGTGTGGATGGGAACATGTGTGGATGGGAACATGTGTGGATGGGAACATGTGTGGATGGGAACATGTGTGGATGGGAACATGTGTGGATGGGAACATGTGTGCATGGGAACATGTGTGCATGGGAACATGTGTGCATGGGAACATGTGTGGATGGGAACATGTGTGGATGGGAACATGTGTGGATGGGAACATTTGTGCATGGGAACATGTGTGGATGGGAACATGTGTGCATGGGAACATGTGTGGATGGGAACATGTGTGGATGGGAACATGTGTGCATGGGAACATGTGTGCATGGGAACATGTGTGGATGGGAACATGTGTGCATGGGAACATGTGTGGATGGGAACATGTGTGGATGGGAACATGTGTGCATGGGAACATGTGTGGATGGGAACATGTGTGCATGGGAACATGTGTGCTTGGGAACATGTGTGCATGGGAACATGTGTGCATGGGAACATGTGTGCATGGGAACAAGTGTGCATGGGAACATGTGTGCATGGGAACATGTGTGCATGGGAACATGTGTGCATGGGAACATGTGTGCATGGGAACATGTGTGCATGGGAACATGTGTGCATGGGAACATACATATGCAGGCGTACAGACACCCATGTATGCATGTTCACTACGCTTTGTTAAAGGAGTACACACACAGACCCACTTAAGCTCATGGAAGAACCCTCTGCTACCCTCTGCTACCCTCTGCTACCCTCTGCTACCCTCTGCTACCCTCTGCTACCCTCTGCTACCCTCTGCTACCTTGCTACTCTACCCTCTGCTACCTTGCTACTCTACCCTCTGCTACCTTGCTACTCTACCCTCTGCTACCTTGCTACTCTACCCTCTGCTACCTTGCTACTCTACCCTCTGCTACCTTGCTACTCTACCCTCTGCTACCTTGCTACTCTACCCTCTGCTACCTTGCTACTCTACCCTCTGCTACCTTGCTACTCTACCCTCTGCTACCTTGCTACTCTACCCTCTGCTACCTTGCTACTCTACCCTCTGCTACCTTGCTACTCTACCCTCTGCTACCTTGCTACTCTACCCTCTGCTACCTTGCTACTCTACCCTCTGCTACCTTGTTACTCTACCCTCTGCTACCTTGTTACTCTACCGTTTGAACCCCCTTGCTAACCTTGCAGCAGTAAAGGATCTGGTTGGTCGGGTATCACTGTGCTGCAATCTATCCCACTAATCCTGATGAATCCCCTTGCCAATAGTGACATGTGGGTTACTGACCAACCATACCATGCTGATGTTGTAACCATACTATGCCGATGTTGTAACCATACCATGCCGATGTTGTAACCATACCATGCCGATGTTGTAACCATACCATGCCGATGTTGTAACCATACCATGCCGATGTTGTAACCATACCATGCCGATGTTGTAACCATACCATGCCGATGTTGTAACCATACCATGCCTATGTTGTAACCATACCATGCATATGTTGTAACCATACCATACCATACCATGCCTATGTTGAAGCATACTGTACCTATGTTGTAACCGTACCGTGCCAATGTTGTGGAATCCCAGCTCTAGGAGGAATGCGATCACATCCCCACTGTCATGCCCCCTGTCCTGGCATGTGGGGAGAAGGGGGGAGAAGGGGGAGAAGGGGGGAGAAGGGGGGAGAAGGGGGGAGGGGGAGAAGGGGGGAGAAGGGGGGAGAAGGGGGGAGAAGGGGGGAGAGAGGGGGGAGAAGGGGGGAGGGGGGAGAAGGGGGGAGAAGGGGGGAGAAGGGGGGAGAAGGGGGGAGAAGGGGGGGAGAAGGGGGGAGAAGGGGGAGAAGGGGGGAGAGAAGGGGGGAGAAGGGGGAGAAGGGGGGAGAAGGGGGGAGAAGGGGGGGGGGGGGAGAAGGGGGGAGAAGGGGGGAGAAGGGGAAGGGGGGAGAAGGGGGAGAAGAAGGGGGGAGAAGGGGGGAGAAGGGGGGAGAAGGGGGGAGAAGGGGGGAGAAGGGGGGAGAAGGGGGGAGAAGGGGGGAGAAGGGGGGGGAGAAGGGGGAGAGGGGAGAAGGGGGGAGAAGGGGGGGAGAGGGGGGAGAAGGGGGGGGGAAGGGGGGAGAAGGGGGGAGAAGGGGGGAGAAGGGGGGGAAGGGGGGAGAAGGGGGGAGAAGGGGGGAGAAGGGGGGGAAGAAGGGGGAGAGGGGGAGGAGAAGAAAAGAGAGGGACAGAAGAAAGAGGGTGGAAACAGCGGGGCGAGAGGGGTCGGGGTGGGTGCATGAGAGGGAAGGCAGCATCACAGGAGAAGGATATGTGCGACACCTTGGGCGGAAGAAAGAGGGAAGAATGAGCCAAGAGACATCCTGGGTGTGGTGCCTTGAATGAGCAAAGAGGGTGTGGTGCCTTGAATGCCACACGTAGCGGTCATGCTGCCAATTTTTACTCGGTGAACAGTGAAGAGAATGGATCTGCACAGGGGGGGGCAGATGTTTGGATGAGATATAGATGCGGCTAACAGGATAGAGAGACTTGCTGCGGTCCATCAGGCCTGCAACGACCAGGTAGACCCACGTTGACCCAACTGACTTTCTTCTTTTGACTGGTTGACTCACGTTGACTCAAGTCGACTCAGTTGACTCGCATTTTATAAGTCAACTAACCTGGGCCGACTCGATGTAGCTTGACACTATCGCCCACAGCTGCTCGTTCCGGTCCTTGAGCTGCCCGTGCCCGTGCCCGTGCCCATGCCCGTGCCCGTGCCCGTGCCCGTGCCCGTGCCCGTGCCCGTGCCCATGCCCATGCCCGTGCCCGAGCCATGCAACACACACACATGCAAACACAACAAGCACTTTTCGTTTCCATCAGAGACGGAAACACTTGAGGGTGGGCGCCAAGCCAACGGCACTTGAGGAAAGGAACTCAAGGAAGCACAAGGTGGAGTAACAGAAGGCTCTGTTGTTGAAGAAAACAGTCAATCGCGGGACGAGAGCAACAGAGCGAACTAATGAATACTTCGAAGTCTCATAACGAGAAGCGGACATCACGAGGAGGAGCGTACAAGGAAGGGGAAGGCGGAGGTTGATACAACTGAGAGAGAAGAACCCCTGAGAGACAACGGGTCAGAGGAGGTGGTGGTGGAGGGGAAGGGGAGGAACGACAGAAAAAGGAGGGCGCACCAGGGAGGATGAGGGGGTAGGGAGTGGTTTTGGGTAAGTACATTTTCAGACTCCATGTGATTGTAGCGTCACACATAAACGTAAACATATGCGTACATACGCGTAAATAGCGTAACATATACCAGGGCACGAAAAAAAACATTGCCAAGCGGGGCTATCGACTACGAGAGTGGGACAAGCAGGATGTGAGATAAAGAATGTGGCAATGGTGTTAGCGGGAAATGGGGGGAAAGCGCAGTCCGGTTGAAAAAAATGCATAAATGAAATCCGTTACCACAATCTATTTGGTGGTGGTTAAATTATCGTTGCGCCACCAGCCCTCTGGCTGAGGCCAGCCCTCTGGCTGAGGCATGTGGAGGTCCAGGAGAGGAGAGGAGCTCCTGCTGATAGCAGTGGCGGTGGCGACGACGGCGGCCACGGCAGCAGCAGCAGAGACACTCACGAGTGGGTGAGCAGGCCGGCTCGGATGAGCACACGTGTGATGACAGCAGCGCCATGGCCCCCAGCTATGGAAGGCGGCGATATGAGATGCATGAGGACTGCCTGGTGGTATGGGGGACGCATGCGTATTAGAGGTGGGAGAATGACGTCAGATGACGAGGTAGGGAGGGAGGGAGGGAGGGAGGGAAGGACAGCAGCGCCATGGCCCCAAGCTATGGATGGCGGCGATATGAGATGCATGAGGAAGCCCGGGGAGGGGGGGGAGGAGATTGGAGGATGAGAGAGGGATGGGGTGGAAAGGACGAGGGAGGGTGGAACGGACGAGGGAGGGTGGAACGGACGAGGGAGGGTGGAACGGACGAGGGAGGGTGGAACGGACGAGGGAGGGTGGAACGGACGAGGGAGGGTGGAACGGACGAGGGAGGGTGGAACGGACGAGGGAGGGTGGAACGGACGAGGGAGGGTGGAAGAACGACGCAAAGGTAGGAGGACGAAGGGGGGAGGAGAGGGGGGAGGCGGAGGGGGGATGTTTGTGTGTTGTTAGAGGCGGGCAGGCAAAACAAGTGACAAATCTTGGTCCTTTACTTTTCTTCCTCTTTTTGGCTGGTGGCGCATCCCTCACCTCCCAGTGGCTCGTGGCATGTGCTGCCAGCTCAGCAGCAGATGGCAGGCGGGTGGCCACAGATGCCGGCACGCTGGGTCGAGACACGGGCGCACTGCACCAGTGAGAAGGCGAGGGGGAGGGAGAGATGAGGGTGGAGTGCGGGGGGGGGGGGAGGCCACAGATGCAGGCATGCTGGAGTGGGGCGAGACATGGGGGAGGTGCGTCAGTGCGAACGGAGTGGGGAGTGTGCGGTGGAGAAAGGGGTGTGCGGTGGAGAAAGGGGTGTACAGCTGCGTGCATGTGGGTGGGGAATGGAGGGAGTGGAAGGGACGGGGAGGTGGGGGAGTAGAGGGGAAGCGGAACATGAACATGGGAAGCGGAACATGAACATGGGAAGCGGAACATGAACATGGGAAGCGGAACATGAACATGGGAAGCGGAACATGAACATGGGAAGCGGAACATGAACATGGGAAGCGGAACATGAACATGGGAAGCGGAACATGAACATGGGAAGCGGAACATGAACATGGGAAGCGGAACATGAACATGGGAAGCGGAACATGAACATGGGAAGCGGAACATGAACATGGGAAGCGGAACATGAACATGGGAAGCGGAACATGAACATGGGAAGCGGAACATGAACATGGGAAGCGGAACATGAACATGGGAAGCGGAACATGAACATGGGAAGCGGAACATGAACATGGGAAGCGGAACATGAACATGGGAAGCGGAACATGAACATGGGAAGCGGAACATGAACATGGGAAGCGGAACATGAACATGGGAAGCGGAACATGAACATGGGAAGCGGAACATGAACATGGGAAGCGGAACATGAACATGGGAAGCGGAACATGAACATGGGAAGCGGAACATGAACATGGGAAGCGGAACATGAACATGGGAAGCGGAACATGAACATGGGAAGCGGAACATGAACATGGGAAGCGGAACATGAACATGGGAAGCGGAACATGAACATGGGAAGCGGAACATGAACATGGGAAGCGGAACATGAACATGGGAAGCGGAACATGAACATGGGAAGCGGAACATGAACATGGGAAGCGGAACATGAACATGGGAAGCGGAACATGAACATGGGAAGCGGAACATGAACATGGGAAGCGGAACATGAACATGGGAAGCGGAACATGAACATGGGAAGCGGAACATGAACATGGGAAGCGGAACATGAACATGGGAAGCGGAACATGAACATGGGAAGCGGAACATGAACATGGGAAGCGGAACATGAACATGGGAAGCGGAACATGAACATGGGAAGCGGAACATGAACATGGGAAGCGGAACATGAACATGGGAAGCGGAACATGAACATGGGAAGCGGAACATGAACATGGGAAGCGGAACATGAACATGGGAAGCGGAACATGAACATGGGAAGCGGAACATGAACATGGGAAGCGGAACATGAACATGGGAAGCGGAACATGAACATGGGAAGCGGAACATGAACATGGGAAGCGGAACATGAACATGGGAAGCGGAACATGAACATGGGAAGCGGAACATGAACATGGGAAGCGGAACATGAACATGGGAAGCGGAACATGAACATGGGAAGCGGAACATGAACATGGGAAGCGGAACATGAACATGGGAAGCGGAACATGAACATGGGAAGCGGAACATGAACATGGGAAGCGGAACATGAACATGGGAAGCGGAACATGAACATGGGAAGCGGAACATGAACATGGGAAGCGGAACATGAACATGGGAAGCGGAACATGAACATGGGAAGCGGAACATGAACATGGGAAGCGGAACATGAACATGGGAAGCGGAACATGAACATGGGAAGCGGAACATGAACATGGGAAGCGGAACATGAACATGGGAAGCGGAACATGAACATGGGAAGCGGAACATGAACATGGGAAGCGGAACATGAACATGGGAAGCGGAACATGAACATGGGAAGCGGAACATGAACATGGGAAGCGGAACATGAACATGGGAAGCGGAACATGAACATGGGAAGCGGAACATGAACATGGGAAGCGGAACATGAACATGGGAAGCGGAACATGAACATGGGAAGCGGAACATGAACATGGGAAGCGGAACATGAACATGGGAAGCGGAACATGAACATGGGAAGCGGAACATGAACATGGGAAGCGGAACATGAACATGGGAAGCGGAACATGAACATGGGAAGCGGAACATGAACATGGGAAGCGGAACATGAACATGGGAAGCGGAACATGAACATGGGAAGCGGAACATGAACATGGGAAGCGGAACATGAACATGGGAAGCGGAACATGAACATGGGAAGCGGAACATGAACATGGGAAGCGGAACATGAACATGGGAAGCGGAACATGAACATGGGAAGCGGAACATGAACATGGGAAGCGGAACATGAACATGGGAAGCGGAACATGAACATGGGAAGCGGAACATGAACATGGGAAGCGGAACATGAACATGGGAAGCGGAACATGAACATGGGAAGCGGAACATGAACATGGGAAGCGGAACATGAACATGGGAAGCGGAACATGAACATGGGAAGCGGAACATGAACATGGGAAGCGGAACATGAACATGGGAAGCGGAACATGAACATGGGAAGCGGAACATGAACATGGGAAGCGGAACATGAACATGGGAAGCGGAACATGAACATGGGAAGCGGAACATGAACATGGGAAGCGGAACATGAACATGGGAAGCGGAACATGAACATGGGAAGCGGAACATGAACATGGGAAGCGGAACATGAACATGGGAAGCGGAACATGAACATGGGAAGCGGAACATGAACATGGGAAGCGGAACATGAACATGGGAAGCGGAACATGAACATGGGAAGCGGAACATGAACATGGGAAGCGGAACATGAACATGGGAAGCGGAACATGAACATGGGAAGCGGAACATGAACATGGGAAGCGGAACATGAACATGGGAAGCGGAACATGAACATGGGAAGCGGAACATGAACATGGGAAGCGGAACATGAACATGGGAAGCGGAACATGAACATGGGAAGCGGAACATGAACATGGGAAGCGGAACATGAACATGGGAAGCGGAACATGAACATGGGAAGCGGAACATGAACATGGGAAGCGGAACATGAACATGGGAAGCGGAACATGAACATGGGAAGCGGAACATGAACATGGGAAGCGGAACATGAACATGGGAAGCGGAACATGAACATGGGAAGCGGAACATGAACATGGGAAGCGGAACATGAACATGGGAAGCGGAACATGAACATGGGAAGCGGAACATGAACATGGGAAGCGGAACATGAACATGGGAAGCGGAACATGAACATGGGAAGCGGAACATGAACATGGGAAGCGGAACATGAACATGGGAAGCGGAACATGAACATGGGAAGCGGAACATGAACATGGGAAGCGGAACATGAACATGGGAAGCGGAACATGAACATGGGAAGCGGAACATGAACATGGGAAGCGGAACATGAACATGGGAAGCGGAACATGAACATGGGAAGCGGAACATGAACATGGGAAGCGGAACATGAACATGGGAAGCGGAACATGAACATGGGAAGCGGAACATGAACATGGGAAGCGGAACATGAACATGGGAAGCGGAACATGAACATGGGAAGCGGAACATGAACATGGGAAGCGGAACATGAACATGGGAAGCGGAACATGAACATGGGAAGCGGAACATGAACATGGGAAGCGGAACATGAACATGGGAAGCGGAACATGAACATGGGAAGCGGAACATGAACATGGGAAGCGGAACATGAACATGGGAAGCGGAACATGAACATGGGAAGCGGAACATGAACATGGGAAGCGGAACATGAACATGGGAAGCGGAACATGAACATGGGAAGCGGAACATGAACATGGGAAGCGGAACATGAACATGGGAAGCGGAACATGAACATGGGAAGCGGAACATGAACATGGGAAGCGGAACATGAACATGGGAAGCGGAACATGAACATGGGAAGCGGAACATGAACATGGGAAGCGGAACATGAACATGGGAAGCGGAACATGAACATGGGAAGCGGAACATGAACATGGGAAGCGGAACATGAACATGGGAAGCGGAACATGAACATGGGAAGCGGAACATGAACATGGGAAGCGGAACATGAACATGGGAAGCGGAACATGAACATGGGAAGCGGAACATGAACATGGGAAGCGGAACATGAACATGGGAAGCGGAACATGAACATGGGAAGCGGAACATGAACATGGGAAGCGGAACATGAACATGGGAAGCGGAACATGAACATGGGAAGCGGAACATGAACATGGGAAGCGGAACATGAACATGGGAAGCGGAACATGAACATGGGAAGCGGAACATGAACATGGGAAGCGGAACATGAACATGGGAAGCGGAACATGAACATGGGAAGCGGAACATGAACATGGGAAGCGGAACATGAACATGGGAAGCGGAACATGAACATGGGAAGCGGAACATGAACATGGGAAGCGGAACATGAACATGGGAAGCGGAACATGAACATGGGAAGCGGAACATGAACATGGGAAGCGGAACATGAACATGGGAAGCGGAACATGAACATGGGAAGCGGAACATGAACATGGGAAGCGGAACATGAACATGGGAAGCGGAACATGAACATGGGAAGCGGAACATGAACATGGGAAGCGGAACATGAACATGGGAAGCGGAACATGAACATGGGAAGCGGAACATGAACATGGGAAGCGGAACATGAACATGGGAAGCGGAACATGAACATGGGAAGCGGAACATGAACATGGGAAGCGGAACATGAACATGGGAAGCGGAACATGAACATGGGAAGCGGAACATGAACATGGGAAGCGGAACATGAACATGGGAAGCGGAACATGAACATGGGAAGCGGAACATGAACATGGGAAGCGGAACATGAACATGGGAAGCGGAACATGAACATGGGAAGCGGAACATGAACATGGGAAGCGGAACATGAACATGGGAAGCGGAACATGAACATGGGAAGCGGAACATGAACATGGGAAGCGGAACATGAACATGGGAAGCGGAACATGAACATGGGAAGCGGAACATGAACATGGGAAGCGGAACATGAACATGGGAAGCGGAACATGAACATGGGAAGCGGAACATGAACATGGGAAGCGGAACATGAACATGGGAAGCGGAACATGAACATGGGAAGCGGAACATGAACATGGGAAGCGGAACATGAACATGGGAAGCGGAACATGAACATGGGAAGCGGAACATGAACATGGGAAGCGGAACATGAACATGGGAAGCGGAACATGAACATGGGAAGCGGAACATGAACATGGGAAGCGGAACATGAACATGGGAAGCGGAACATGAACATGGGAAGCGGAACATGAACATGGGAAGCGGAACATGAACATGGGAAGCGGAACATGAACATGGGAAGCGGAACATGAACATGGGAAGCGGAACATGAACATGGGAAGCGGAACATGAACATGGGAAGCGGAACATGAACATGGGAAGCGGAACATGAACATGGGAAGCGGAACATGAACATGGGAAGCGGAACATGAACATGGGAAGCGGAACATGAACATGGGAAGCGGAACATGAACATGGGAAGCGGAACATGAACATGGGAAGCGGAACATGAACATGGGAAGCGGAACATGAACATGGGAAGCGGAACATGAACATGGGAAGCGGAACATGAACATGGGAAGCGGAACATGAACATGGGAAGCGGAACATGAACATGGGAAGCGGAACATGAACATGGGAAGCGGAACATGAACATGGGAAGCGGAACATGAACATGGGAAGCGGAACATGAACATGGGAAGCGGAACATGAACATGGGAAGCGGAACATGAACATGGGAAGCGGAACATGAACATGGGAAGCGGAACATGAACATGGGAAGCGGAACATGAACATGGGAAGCGGAACATGAACATGGGAAGCGGAACATGAACATGGGAAGCGGAACATGAACATGGGAAGCGGAACATGAACATGGGAAGCGGAACATGAACATGGGAAGCGGAACATGAACATGGGAAGCGGAACATGAACATGGGAAGCGGAACATGAACATGGGAAGCGGAACATGAACATGGGAAGCGGAACATGAACATGGGAAGCGGAACATGAACATGGGAAGCGGAACATGAACATGGGAAGCGGAACATGAACATGGGAAGCGGAACATGAACATGGGAAGCGGAACATGAACATGGGAAGCGGAACATGAACATGGGAAGCGGAACATGAACATGGGAAGCGGAACATGAACATGGGAAGCGGAACATGAACATGGGAAGCGGAACATGAACATGGGAAGCGGAACATGAACATGGGAAGCGGAACATGAACATGGGAAGCGGAACATGAACATGGGAAGCGGAACATGAACATGGGAAGCGGAACATGAACATGGGAAGCGGAACATGAACATGGGAAGCGGAACATGAACATGGGAAGCGGAACATGAACATGGGAAGCGGAACATGAACATGGGAAGCGGAACATGAACATGGGAAGCGGAACATGAACATGGGAAGCGGAACATGAACATGGGAAGCGGAACATGAACATGGGAAGCGGAACATGAACATGGGAAGCGGAACATGAACATGGGAAGCGGAACATGAACATGGGAAGCGGAACATGAACATGGGAAGCGGAACATGAACATGGGAAGCGGAACATGAACATGGGAAGCGGAACATGAACATGGGAAGCGGAACATGAACATGGGAAGCGGAACATGAACATGGGAAGCGGAACATGAACATGGGAAGCGGAACATGAACATGGGAAGCGGAACATGAACATGGGAAGCGGAACATGAACATGGGAAGCGGAACATGAACATGGGAAGCGGAACATGAACATGGGAAGCGGAACATGAACATGGGAAGCGGAACATGAACATGGGAAGCGGAACATGAACATGGGAAGCGGAACATGAACATGGGAAGCGTGCAAGCCATGACATGAGCGCCTGCTGCACTCACCCTGACGTGAGCGCCTGCTGCAGCTGCTGCTGGAAGGTGGGGTTCAGGCGGAATGCTGCTGCTGCAGACGACCCTGCTGACGCTGCCACAGACCCTGTTTCGCTGCATGCAGGGTGGATGGAGGGGTGGAGAGGTGGCTTGTGAGTCGACTATAAAATGCTGATGAGGATGTTGATGCTGATAAGGATGTTGACGGTGATGCTGATGAGGATGTTGACAGTGATGCTGATGAGGATGTTGACGGTGATGCTGATGAGGATGTTGATGCTGATGAGGATGTTGACAGTGATGCTGATGAGGATGTTGACGGTGATGCTGGCGCCCACCATGCTGACCATCCCCTTCCTACTACCAGCACGCAACTTCCTACTACCAGCACGCAACTTCCTACTACCAGCACGCAACTTCCTACTACCAGCACGCAACTTCCTACTACCAGCACGCAACTTCCTACTACCAGCACGCAACTTCCTACTACCAGCACGCAACTTCCTACTACCAGCACGCAACTTCCTACTACCAGCACGCAACTTCCTACTACCAGCACGAAACTTTCTACTACCAGCACGCAACTTCCTACTACCAGCACGCAACTTCCTACTACCAGCACGCAACTTCCTACTACCAGCACGCAACTTCCTACTACCAGCACGCAACTTCCTACTACCAGCACGCAACTTCCTACTACCAGCACGCAACTTCCTACTACCAGCACGCAACTTCCTACTACCAGCACGCAACTTCCTACTACCAGCACGCAACTTCCTACTACCAGCACGCAACTTCCTACTACCAGCACGCAACTTCCTACTACCAGCACGCAACTTCCTACTACCAGCACGCTACTTCCTACTACCAGCACGCAAATTCCTACTACCAGCACGCAACTTCCTACTACCAGCACGCAACTTCCTACTACCAGCACGCAACTTCCTACTACCAGCACGCAACTTCCTACTACCAGCACGCAACTTCCTACTACCAGCACGCAACTTCCTACTACCAGCACGCAACTTCCTACTACCAGCACGCAACTTCCTACTACCAGCACGCAACTTCCTACTACCAGCACGCAACTTCCTACTACCAGCACGCAACTTCCTACTACCAGCACGCAACTTCCTACTACCAGCACGCAACTTCCTACTACCAGCACGCAACTTCCTACTACCAGCACGCAACTTCCTACTACCAGCACGCAACTTCCTACTACCAGCACGCAACTTCCTACTACCAGCACGCAACTTCCTACTACCAGCACGCAACTTCCTACTACCAGCACGCAACTTCCTACTACCAGCACGCAACTTCCTACTACCAGCACGCAACTTCCTACTACCAGCACGCAACTTCCTACTACCAGCACGCAACTTCCTACTACCAGCACGCAACTTCCTACTACCAGCACGCAACTTCCTACTACCAGCACGCAACTTCCTACTACCAGCACGCAACTTCCTACTACCAGCACGCAACTTCCTACTACCAGCACGCAACTTCCTACTACCAGCACGCAACTTCCTACTACCAGCACGCAACTTCCTACTACCAGCACGCAACTTCCTACTACCAGCACGCAACTTCCTACTACCAGCACGCAACTTCCTACTACCAGCACGCAACTTCCTACTACCAGCACGCAACTTCCTACTACCAGCACGCAACTTCCTACTACCAGCACGCAACTTCCTACTACCAGCACGCAACTTCCTACTACCAGCACGCAACTTCCTACTACCAGCACGCAACTTCCTACTACCAGCACGCAACTTCCTACTACCAGCACGCAACTTCCTACTACCAGCACGCAACTTCCTACTACCAGCACGCAACTTCCTACTACCAGCACGCAACTTCCTACTACCAGCACGCAACTTCCTACTACCAGCACGCAACTTCCTACTACCAGCACGCAACTTCCTACTACCAGCACGCAACTTCCTACTACCAGCACGCAACTTCCTACTACCAGCACGCAACTTCCTACTACCAGCACGCAACTTCCTACTACCAGCACGCAACTTCCTACTACCAGCACGCAACTTCCTACTACCAGCACGCAACTTCCTACTACCAGCACGCAACTTCCTACTACCAGCACGCAACTTCCTACTACCAGCACGCAACTTCCTACTACCAGCACGCAACTTCCTACTACCAGCACGCAACTTCCTACTACCAGCACGCAACTTCCTACTACCAGCACGCAACTTCCTACTACCAGCACGCAACTTCCTACTACCAGCACGCAACTTCCTACTACCAGCACGCAACTTCCTACTACCAGCACGCAACTTCCTACTACCAGCACGCAACTTCCTACTACCAGCACGCAACTTCCTACTACCAGCACGCAACTTCCTACTACCAGCACGCAACTTCCTACTACCAGCACGCAACTTCCTACTACCAGCACGCAACTTCCTACTACCAGCACGCAACTTCCTACTACCAGCACGCAACTTCCTACTACCAGCACGCAACTTCCTACTACCAGCACGCAACTTCCTACTACCAGCACGCAACTTCCTACTACCAGCACGCAACTTCCTACTACCAGCACGCAACTTCCTACTACCAGCACGCAACTTCCTACTACCAGCACGCAACTTCCTACTACCAGCACGCAACTTCCTACTACCAGCACGCAACTTCCTACTACCAGCACGCAACTTCCTACTACCAGCACGCAACTTCCTACTACCAGCACGCAACTTCCTACTACCAGCACGCAACTTCCTACTACCAGCACGCAACTTCCTACTACCAGCACGCAACTTCCTACTACCAGCACGCAACTTCCTACTACCAGCACGCAACTTCCTACTACCAGCACGCAACTTCCTACTACCAGCACGCAACTTCCTACTACCAGCACGCAACTTCCTACTACCAGCACGCAACTTCCTACTACCAGCACGCAACTTCCTACTACCAGCACGCAACTTCCTACTACCAGCACGCAACTTCCTACTACCAGCACGCAACTTCCTACTACCAGCACGCAACTTCCTACTACCAGCACGCAACTTCCTACTACCAGCACGCAACTTCCTACTACCAGCACGCAACTTCCTACTACCAGCACGCAACTTCCTACTACCAGCACGCAACTTCCTACTACCAGCACGCAACTTCCTACTACCAGCACGCAACTTCCTACTACCAGCACGCAACTTCCTACTACCAGCACGCAACTTCCTACTACCAGCACGCAACTTCCTACTACCAGCACGCAACTTCCTACTACCAGCACGCAACTTCCTACTACCAGCACGCAACTTCCTACTACCAGCACGCAACTTCCTACTACCAGCACGCAACTTCCTACTACCAGCACGCAACTTCCTACTACCAGCACGCAACTTCCTACTACCAGCACGCAACTTCCTACTACCAGCACGCAACTTCCTACTACCAGCACGCAACTTCCTACTACCAGCACGCAACTTCCTACTACCAGCACGCAACTTCCTACTACCAGCACGCAACTTCCTACTACCAGCACGCAACTTCCTACTACCAGCACGCAACTTCCTACTACCAGCACGCAACTTCCTACTACCAGCACGCAACTTCCTACTACCAGCACGCAACTTCCTACTACCAGCACGCAACTTCCTACTACCAGCACGCAACTTCCTACTACCAGCACGCAACTTCCTACTACCAGCACGCAACTTCCTACTACCAGCACGCAACTTCCTACTACCAGCACGCAACTTCCTACTACCAGCACGCAACTTCCTACTACCAGCACGCAACTTCCTACTACCAGCACGCAACTTCCTACTACCAGCACGCAACTTCCTACTACCAGCACGCAACTTCCTACTACCAGCACGCAACTTCCTACTACCAGCACGCAACTTCCTACTACCAGCACGCAACTTCCTACTACCAGCACGCAACTTCCTACTACCAGCACGCAACTTCCTACTACCAGCACGCAACTTCCTACTACCAGCACGCAACTTCCTACTACCAGCACGCAACTTCCTACTACCAGCACGCAACTTCCTACTACCAGCACGCAACTTCCTACTACCAGCACGCAACTTCCTACTACCAGCACGCAACTTCCTACTACCAGCACGCAACTTCCTACTACCAGCACGCAACTTCCTACTACCAGCACGCAACTTCCTACTACCAGCACGCAACTTCCTACTACCAGCACGCAACTTCCTACTACCAGCACGCAACTTCCTACTACCAGCACGCAACTTCCTACTACCAGCACGCAACTTCCTACTACCAGCACGCAACTTCCTACTACCAGCACGCAACTTCCTACTACCAGCACGCAACTTCCTACTACCAGCACGCAACTTCCTACTACCAGCACGCAACTTCCTACTACCAGCACGCAACTTCCTACTACCAGCACGCAACTTCCTACTACCAGCACGCAACTTCCTACTACCAGCACGCAACTTCCTACTACCAGCACGCAACTTCCTACTACCAGCACGCAACTTCCTACTACCAGCACGCAACTTCCTACTACCAGCACGCAACTTCCTACTACCAGCACGCAACTTCCTACTACCAGCACGCAACTTCCTACTACCAGCACGCAACTTCCTACTACCAGCACGCAACTTCCTACTACCAGCACGCAACTTCCTACTACCAGCACGCAACTTCCTACTACCAGCACGCAACTTCCTACTACCAGCACGCAACTTCCTACTACCAGCACGCAACTTCCTACTACCAGCACGCAACTTCCTACTACCAGCACGCAACTTCCTACTACCAGCACGCAACTTCCTACTACCAGCACGCAACTTCCTACTACCAGCACGCAACTTCCTACTACCAGCACGCAACTTCCTACTACCAGCACGCAACTTCCTACTACCAGCACGCAACTTCCTACTACCAGCACGCAACTTCCTACTACCAGCACGCAACTTCCTACTACCAGCACGCAACTTCCTACTACCAGCACGCAACTTCCTACTACCAGCACGCAACTTCCTACTACCAGCACGCAACTTCCTACTACCAGCACGCAACTTCCTACTACCAGCACGCAACTTCCTACTACCAGCACGCAACTTCCTACTACCAGCACGCAACTTCCTACTACCAGCACGCAACTTCCTACTACCAGCACGCAACTTCCTACTACCAGCACGCAACTTCCTACTACCAGCACGCAACTTCCTACTACCAGCACGCAACTTCCTACTACCAGCACGCAACTTCCTACTACCAGCACGCAACTTCCTACTACCAGCACGCAACTTCCTACTACCAGCACGCAACTTCCTACTACCAGCACGCAACTTCCTACTACCAGCACGCAACTTCCTACTACCAGCACGCAACTTCCTACTACCAGCACGCAACTTCCTACTACCAGCACGCAACTTCCTACTACCAGCACGCAACTTCCTACTACCAGCACGCAACTTCCTACTACCAGCACGCAACTTCCTACTACCAGCACGCAACTTCCTACTACCAGCACGCAACTTCCTACTACCAGCACGCAACTTCCTACTACCAGCACGCAACTTCCTACTACCAGCACGCAACTTCCTACTACCAGCACGCAACTTCCTACTACCAGCACGCAACTTCCTACTACCAGCACGCAACTTCCTACTACCAGCACGCAACTTCCTACTACCAGCACGCAACTTCCTACTACCAGCACGCAACTTCCTACTACCAGCACGCAACTTCCTACTACCAGCACGCAACTTCCTACTACCAGCACGCAACTTCCTACTACCAGCACAGCAGCGCCTGCACTTTCTGTCCTGCAGCAGCCTGGCAAGATCCGCCTTGCACTGGCTCTAACTAAGCCTCAATCATACCTGCAAACCAAGAACAGCATTACCGTACATCCATAACCCGCACTGCACTGCAAGCATGCAACGGCATCACCAGCAAGTAGTATTCATACCTGCTTGCGACCAGTGATACCAGTGATACCATAACGCCCCCTTAACCTAGTTATCCAATAGGCCAGAACCCCACCCCACCATAAACCAGTGGTGGTGAGATTGCAACCAGCGACACCAGTGAAGCACCTATTGTGCGCCGCCATAGGACCAATGCGGCATACGTCAATTCAATATGTCAACACTGTAAGTGAGCACTCGCCCCTACCTGAAGAGAGAAGCCAGCAGCTGCTGCAACCTGGTGATGGCTGCCGCGTGCTTTCCTTTCCCATGCCGGCCCGACATGGCACGCCCCACTAAAGCCACTTAAGAAATCTGTGGCTGCTGCTGCCCGTGCCGTGCAGGTAGAGCGGGTGGCAGGAGGAGCGACGTGCATTTGAGAGTGCATTTGAGACCACACCTGAGAGTGCACCTGGGAGCACACCTGAGAGTGCACCCTGAAGTTCACCTGCGACCTGCAGCCGCACCTGCATGGCAGCAGCAGGCGCAGCTGCTGCAGCCTGTCAAGCGCCGCCTTGTGCTTGCTGTGAGCCTCGGGCTTGGGCCAATCCGCCACGAGCGTGGCGGGCACAGGGTCGGTGAGGAAGAGCAGCCGCAGCACGTACTGCTTGGCCAGTGGAGGCAGGGACCTGCAGGTGGGGTTAGTGAGGGGGGGAGAGGGGTGGGAACGCGGGGGGCACAGAGTCCGTGAAGAAGAGCAGTCGCAGCGCAACACGTACTGCTGGGCCAGTGGAGGGAGGGACCTGCGGGTGAGTGGGAGGGCGGAAGGATGAGTGAGGCGGGAGGGAGAAGGGGTGCGGAGAAGGGGTGTGGCAGGCACAGGGTTGGTGAGGAAGAGCAGTCGCAGCACGATTGTTTGGGTAGAGGGGGAAGGGACATGGGGGATAGGGGGTGAGTGGGAGGCCAAGGTGGGGTTTGTGTGGGAGGAGGGGGGTTCCAGCAGGCACAGGGTTGGTGAGGAGGAGCAGAGGCAGCACGACTGCTTGGCTAGCGGAGGCAGCACGACTGCTTGGCTAGCGGAGGCAGCACGACTGCTTGGCTAGCGGAGGCAGGGACATGGGGGCTACGATGGATTTGACGCACTCAGCGTTTTGACTCTGAGTCAAAACGCTAGCGTTTTGACGCTTGACGCCCCCTGTCCCAGGGGTACCCCCCAGTTTGACGCTCTGGCGGGCAGGCGAAAAAAACTCCCGGGCAGGGGTAAACAAATGGGAACAGGGGGGTTAGTAAGAGAAGTTGGGTGGTGGGGGGGTTGGGGAGCAGGAGTTGTAGGATATGCGGGGCAGTCATGAAAAAGAAGTACTTCATAAGTAAAAGCATCCAAGTTTGCCTCGTTCTCCATCAATCACATAGCACATGGGACGTTTTCTTCGATTTCGGGCTGCCCAGAAAATTTTGGCCAGAGAGTCAATCGCTTTGACGCGTCAAACGTCAAAACGCCACGTTTTGACGCTTGAAAATTTCTGAATCTGGCGTCAAATCCATCATAGCATGGGGGGCGGGGGGGGGGGGAGGGGGGGGGGGATTAGTGTGGAAGGAGGGGGTGCAGGGACCTGTGGGGGCGGGGGGTGTGTGGTGCCGGACGAAATGGGAAGGCGAGATGGGAGGCGGGGAAGCGGGGGGAGTGGATGACGAAGACCAGGAGATACAGTGTGAGCAGTCACAGGCGATACAGTGAGAGCAGTCACAGGCGATACAGTGAGAGCAGTCACAGGAGATACAGTGAGAGCAGTCACAGGAGATACAGTGAGAGCAGTCACAGGCGATACAGTGAGAGCAGTCACAGGCGATACAGTGAGAGCAGTCACAGGCGATACAGTGAGAGCAGTCACAGGCGATACAGTGAGAGCAGTCACAGGCGATACAGTGTGAGCAGTCACAGGCGATACAGTGAGAGCAGTCACAGGCGATACAGTGAGAGCAGTCACAGGCGATACAGTGAGAGCAGTCACAGGCGATACAGTGAGAGCAGTCACAGGCGATACAGTGAGAGCAGTCACAGGCGATACAGTGAGAGCAGTCACAGGCGATACAGTGAGAGCAGTCACAGGAGATACAGTGAGAGCAGTCACAGGAGATACAGTGAGAGCAGTCACAGGCGATACAGTGAGAGCAGTCACAGGCGATACAGTGAGAGCAGTCACAGGCGATACAGTGAGAGCAGTCACAGGCGATACAGTGAGAGCAGTCACAGGCGATACAGTGTGAGCAGTCACAGGCGATACAGTGAGAGCAGTCACAGGCGATACAGTGAGAGCAGTCACAGGCGATACAGTGAGAGCAGTCACAGGCGATACAGTGAGAGCAGTCACAGGCGATACAGTGAGAGCAGTCACAGGCGATACAGTGAGAGCAGTCACAGGCGATACAGTGAGAGCAGTCACAGGCGATACAGTGAGAGCAGTCACAGGCGATACAGTGAGAGCAGTCACAGGCGATACAGTGTGAGCAGTCACAGGCGATACAGTGAGAGCAGTCACAGGAGATACAGTGAGAGCAGTCACAGGCGATACAGTGTGAGCAGTCACAGGCGATACAGTGAGAGCAGTCACAGGAGATACAGTGAGAGCAGTCACAGGCGATACAGTGAGAGCAGTCACAGGCGATACAGTGAGAGCAGTCACAGGCGATACAGTGAGAGCAGTCACAGGCAATACAGTGAGAGCAGTCACAGGCGATACAGTGAGAGCAGTCACAGGAGATACAGTGAGAGCAGTCACAGGCGATACAGTGAGAGCAGTCACAGGCGATACAGTGAGAGCAGTCACAGGAGATACAGTGAGAGCAGTCACAGGCGATACAGTGAGAGCAGTCACAGGAGATACAGTGAGAGCAGTCACAGGCGATACAGTGAGAGCAGTCACAGGCGATACAGTGAGAGCAGTCACAGGAGATACAGTGAGAGCAGTCACAGGCGATACAGTGAGAGCAGTCACAGGCGATACAGTGAGAGCAGTCACAGGCGATACAGTGAGAGCAGTCACAGGCGATACAGTGTGAGCAGTCACAGGCGATACAGTGAGAGCAGTCACAGGCGATACAGTGAGAGCAGTCACAGGCGATACAGTGAGAGCAGTCACAGGCGATACAGTGAGAGCAGTCACAGGCGATACAGTGTGAGCAGTCACAGGCGATACAGTGAGAGCAGTCACAGGCGATACAGTGAGAGCAGTCACAGGCGATACAGTGTGAGCAGTCACAGGCGATACAGTGAGAGCAGTCACAGGCGATACAGTGAGAGCAGTCACAGGAGATACAGTGAGAGCAGTCACAGGCGATACAGTGAGAGCAGTCACAGGCGATACAGTGAGAGCAGTCACAGGCGATACAGTGAGAGCAGTCACAGGCGATACAGTGAGAGCAGTCACAGGCGATACAGTGAGAGCAGTCACAGGAGATACAGTGAGAGCAGTCACAGGCGATACAGTGAGAGCAGTCACAGGCGATACAGTGAGAGCAGTCACAGGCGATACAGTGAGAGCAGTCACAGGCGATACAGTGAGAGCAGTCACAGGAGATACAGTGAGAGCAGTCACAGGCGATACAGTGAGAGCAGTCACAGGCGATACAGTGAGAGCAGTCACAGGCGATACAGTGAGAGCAGTCACAGGCGATACAGTGTGAGCAGTCACAGGCGATACAGTGAGAGCAGTCACAGGCGATACAGTGAGAGCAGTCACAGGCGATACAGTGAGAGCAGTCACAGGCGATACAGTGAGAGCAGTCACAGGCGATACAGTGAGAGCAGTCACAGGCGATACAGTGAGAGCAGTCACAGGCGATACAGTGAGAGCAGTCACAGGCGATACAGTGAGAGCAGTCACAGGCGATACAGTGAGAGCAGTCACAGGCGATACAGTGAGAGCAGTCACAGGCGATACAGTGAGAGCAGTCACAGGCGATACAGTGAGAGCAGTCACAGGCGATACAGTGAGAGCAGTCACAGGCGATACAGTGAGAGCAGTCACAGGCGATACAGTGAGAGCAGTCACAGGCGATACAGTGAGAGCAGTCACAGGAGATACAGTGAGAGCAGTCACAGGCGATACAGTGAGAGCAGTCACAGGCGATACAGTGAGAGCAGTCACAGGCGATACAGTGAGAGCAGTCACAGGCGATACAGTGAGAGCAGTCACAGGCGATACAGTGAGAGCAGTCACAGGCGATACAGTGAGAGCAGTCACAGGCGATACAGTGAGAGCAGTCACAGGCGATACAGTGAGAGCAGTCACAGGCGATACAGTGAGAGCAGTCACAGGCGATACAGTGAGAGCAGTCACAGGCGATACAGTGAGAGCAGTCACAGGCGATACAGTGAGAGCAGTCACAGGCGATACAGTGAGAGCAGTCACAGGCGATACAGTGAGAGCAGTCACAGGCGATACAGTGAGAGCAGTCACAGGCGATACAGTGAGAGCAGTCACAGGCGATACAGTGAGAGCAGTCACAGGCGATACAGTGAGAGCAGTCACAGGCGATACAGTGAGAGCAGTCACAGGCGATACAGTGAGAGCAGTCACAGGCGATACAGTGTGAGCAGTCACAGGCGATACAGTGAGAGCAGTCACAGGCGATACAGTGAGAGCAGTCACAGGCGATACAGTGAGAGCAGTCACAGGCGATACAGTGAGAGCAGTCACAGGCGATACAGTGTGAGCAGTCACAGGCGATACAGTGTGAGCAGTCACAGGCGATACAGTGAGAGCAGTCACAGGCGATACAGTGAGAGCAGTCACAGGCGATACAGTGAGAGCAGTCACAGGCGATACAGTGAGAGCAGTCACAGGCGATACAGTGAGAGCAGTCACAGGCGATACAGTGAGAGCAGTCACAGGCGATACAGTGAGAGCAGTCACAGGCGATACAGTGAGAGCAGTCACAGGCGATACAGTGAGAGCAGTCACAGGCGATACAGTGTGAGCAGTCACAGGAGATACAGTGTGAGCAGTCACAGGCGATACAGTGTGAGCAGTCACAGGCGATACAGTGTGAGCAGTCACAGGCGATACAGTGTGAGCAGTCACAGGCGATACAGTGTGAGCAGTCACAGGCGATACAGTGTGAGCAGTCACAGGAGATACAGTGTGAGCAGTCACAGGAGATACAGTGTGAGCAGTCACAGGAGATACAGTGTGAGCAGTCACAGGAGATACAGTGTGAGCAGTCACAGGAGATACAGTGAGAGCAGTCACAGGAGATACAGTGTGAGCAGTCACAGGAGATACAGTGTGAGCAGTCACAGGAGATACAGTGTGAGCAGTCACAGGAGATACAGTGTGAGCAGTCACAGGAGATACAGTGTGAGCAGTCACAGGCGATACAGTGTGAGCAGTCACAGGCGATACAGTGTGAGCAGTCACAGGATACAGTGTGAGCAGTCACAGAAGATACAGTGTGAGCAGTCACAGAAGATACAGTGTGAGCAGTCACAGGAGATACAGTGTGAGCAGTCACAGGAGATACAGTGTGAGCAGTCACAGGAGATACAGTGTGAGCAGTCACAGGAGATACAGTGTGAGCAGTCACAGGAGATACAGTGAGAGCAGTCACAGGCGATACAGTGAGAGCAGTCACAGGCGATACAGTGAGAGCAGTCACAGTGAGCAGTCACAGGCGAGCAGTCACAGGCGATACAGTGAGAGCAGTCACAGGCGATACAGTGTGAGCAGGGACCTGTGGGATGGGGGATGAGTGTGGGGCCCAGGTGGGGTTAGTGTGAGAGGAGGGAGGGTGCATTGAGGAAGATCAGTCACAGCACAGCACAGCACAGCACCGCACAGCACCGCACAGCACAGCACAGCACAGCACAGCACAGCACAGCACGTACTGCTTTGGGTAGAAGGTGTAGGGACCTGCGGATCGGAGGATAGGGGGTAGGAGGGTGCACGGAAGGAGGGTGGAAGGAAGGAGTAAGGGAAGGAGTAAGGGAAGGAGTAAGGGAAGGAGTAAGGGAAGGAGTAAGGGAAGGAGTAAGGGAAGGAGTAAGGGAAGGAGTAAGGGAAGGAGTAAGGGAAGGAGTAAGGGAAGGAGTAAGGGAAGGAGTAAGGGAAGGAGTAAGGGAAGGAGTAAGGGAAGGAGTAAGGGAAGGAGTAAGGGAAGGAGTAAGGGAAGGAGTAAGGGAAGGAGTAAGGGAAGGAGTAAGGGAAGGAGTAAGGGAAGGAGTAAGGGAAGGAGTAAGGGAAGGAGTAAGGGAAGGAGTAAGGGAAGGAGTAAGGGAAGGAGTAAGGGAAGGAGTAAGGGAAGGAGTAAGGGAAGGAGTAAGGGAAGGAGTAAGGGAGTAAGGGAAGGAGTAAGGGAAGGAGTAAGGGAAGGAGTAAGGGAAGGAGTAAGGGAAGGAAACAATGCAGGAGGGAAAGGCTGGAAAAGGGGTGGGGAGGGAGGGAAGACGAGGGGGGACAGTGGGGGAGTGGAGTAGGCACAGGGTTGGTGAGGAAGAGCAGTCGCAGCATGTGCTGCTTGGATAAGGGAGGGCAGGACCTGTGATGGGAGGGGGGATGGACGGAGGTGGGGGCAGAAAGGAGGAGGTGAAGGAAGGGGGGGGAGAGGAGAAAGGGAGGGAGGTGTGTGTGGGGGTGCTGGGGGTTGTGGGAAGTGCATTGGGGTAGAAATGGATGAGGAGGGGCAGCAGTTGCCAGCAGCATTGGGCGTCCAGCCGACACAACTCGCCTTGCTGGAGGAGGAAGTGACATGGATGCGAGGGGGGCCGGAAGGAAGGGAATGGGGTGAATGAGGGGGAGGGAAGTGAGGCGGAAGTGCAGCAGGACGGGGGGGAGCTGCGGATGGGGGAGCGGGGACAGATGACTGGTGAGGTGAGGGGAGCGAGCAGCATGCGAGGGGGAAAAGAAGGGGGTGTGGTGCGGTGAGAATGGGGTGCGGGGAGAGTGGGGTGCGGGGAGAGTGGGGTGCGGGGAGAGTGGGGTGCGGGGAGAATGGGGTGCGGGGAGAATGGGGTGCGGGGAGAATGGGGTGCGGGGAGAATGGGGTGCGGGGAGAATGGTGGGGTTGCAGTGGCGCATCTGAATGCATGGGTGTGGGAACCAAGGGAGGCGCGGGTGGGGGGACGATTGGGGAGAAGAGAAGGTCCTTTTGAGGCGCCTCACAAGGTCCTGGGGAAGAAATGCGAAAGACGGAACCTCCGATGCTGGGAGAGTATGGGGAGAAAGGCCAAACCGTCATGATGAGTGTTGCGGACTCACTGGGCAGCTGGAACTCACTGGGCAGCTGGAACTCACTGGGCAGCTGGAACTCACGCTTAGTCAAACGAAGCGTTTACCTGAGCACAGCTTGGCACGTGTAGAGGGAGGAGTATAGGCGGTCTAGCTGCGCGGCCGGCAGCGACGCAAGGTAATCCGCGAACAAACCAGCAGATTCAACCATTCTTGGATGGAGGGGGGTGAGGGTTACGAGGCAGGGGGAGCAAGGGCGACGGATAGGGCGATGGCAGGGGAAGGGAGGGAAGCGAGGGCGACGGGGAGGGGAAGCGGTGGCGACGGGGAGAGGAAGCAAGGGCGACGGAGAGGGGAAGCGAGGGCGACGGGGAGGGGAACAGCGGGCGACGGGGAGGGGAAGCGCGGGCGACGGGGAGGGGAAGCGAGGGCGACGGGGAGGGGAAGCGAGGGCGACGGGGAGGGGAAGAGCGGGCGACGGGGAGGAGAAGAGAGGGCGACGGGGAGGGGAAGCGCGGGCGACGGGGAGGGGAAGCGCGGGCGACGGCGAGGCGAAGCGCGGGCGACGGGGAAGGGAAGCGAGGGCGACGGGGGGAGGGGAAGCGAGGGCGACGGGGAGGGGAAGCGCGGGCGACGGGGAGGGGAAGCGCGGGCGACGGGGAGGGGAAGCGAAGGCGACGGTTAGAGGAAGCGAAGGCGACGGGGAGGGCGTGGAGCGAGTGACGGTAGAACGTGTGACGCGTGATTGACTATGACGCTAGAGTGAGTCACGCCAGGGAGTGAGCGACGCGCGCAGTGTGACACACGAGAAGTGAGTGGAGGGTGGGTGGGGAGAGTGGGCGACGAGAGCCCGTCGCAGGAGCGGGCGACGAGAGCCCGTCGCAGGAACGGGCGACGCTAGTGCGCGACGGGAGCGCGCGACTTGGGCTGAACAGGTGAAAAGTGGGCATTCAGCAATTGACTGACTCATGCTGTCGTGCTCTCCATGGTTTGGCGGGTTACAATCCGGTAACATTTCTCAAGCAATCTTCGTAACCATGCATTATTTTAAAATGTACGAACAACTTTCCTAGCAAAACAAGAAAGCAAACAATGCGTTTCTCCAAATTAGTGAACGGTTTTTGTTTTACTCTGATTCACACACACACTATTTGCTGAACTGAATCCTATCAAATTATATATTTGTGATATATGTGTAGGTTGTAGTGGGGTAGCCAATATGGGGTATAGCCCCTTAAAGGTTTCATACTTGTACCAAACCTTTTGCTGGTTCACTCATTTCTGCCTGTAGATTCTGACATGGTTTCAGAGCAGTATGTCCTTAGGACCGTTTTTTTTTTTTTTGCCCACCTACCGTTGCAGTTACTGAGCTGCCCCACGTCTTGCCTGCGCTGTGCCGCCCGCGCGCGCCCTGCCTTGCCTGCGCTGCGCCGCCCGCGCGCGCCCTGCCTAGCCTCCGTGACGTGCTGCGCTGCGCGCGCCGTCCTGCAGCCTTCACACTGCCTGCTGCTGCCCGCGCCGCGTTGCCCCGCGCACGCCCTGCCCTGCCCCGCGTTGCGCTGCCCCGCGCACGCCCTGCCCTGCCCTGCGCCAGCGCCCTGCCCTGCGCCAGCGCCCTGCCCTGCGCCGGCGCCCTGCCCTGCGCCAGCGCCCTGCCCTGCGCCAGCGCCCTGCCCTGCGCCAGCGCCCTGCCCTACGCCCGCGCTGCTGCCCTGCGCGTCGCACCCTACGGCAGCCCGCGCGTCGCGCGCTGCTGCCCCGCGCGTCGCGCCCTACGGCAGCCCGCGCGTCGCGCGCTGCTGGCCCGCGCGTCGCGCCCTACGGCAGCCCGCGCGTCGCGCGCTACTGCCCAGCGCATCGCGCTCTGCTACAGCCCGCGCATGGCGCCCTGCTGCTCTGCGCGTCACGCCCTGCTGCAGCACGCGCGTCGCGCCCTGCTGCAGCACGCGCGTCGCGCCCTGCTGCCCTGCACAGCGCGCGCCCTGCTACCCGCGCAGCCCAGGCCGAGCCGAGCCGCCCTACCCGACCCGATCCGCCCTCCTGCTCGTGCTACTACTGCTGCTGGTGGAGGTGCTGCTAGGAGTGCTGGAGGTGCTGCAGCCTAGCCTCACCGGGCCGCTCTACTGCTCTTACTGCTGTTGCTGCTGCTCGTGCTGCTGTCTTCCCTCCGTACCGCCCTCCTCCTCGCACGCCTCCTTGCTTACCCGCTATGACTTCCCTTCGTAGTAGCGGTGGGAGTGGTGACGGCTGTAGTAGCAGTCGCTGTGGAGTTGTTCGGTGGGGAGTGTCAAGCGGTGGGCAGATGCAGCTGCAGCAGCGTCCGCGCGAGACCCTTACGCGCCAGCAGCTTCGTGAGTGGTACGCCAGGTGGTGTGCTGGCGGCGGCCGTCGTGGCAGTCGCGGTGGAGCTGGTCAGTGCGGAGTTCCTGGCGGTGGCCAGATGCAGCTGCAGCAGCGTCAGAGCGAGACCCTTATGCGCCAGCAGCTTCATGAGTGGTACGCTCAGAGTGGGGGGTGTAGGAGTACTGCCCGCTGCCCGTACGTCATTCGCGTAGGTGATCGGGCTGGTCAGAATTGTGGGACGCTCTCTCATACACAGGCTCGCTGCTTCGCCCATCTGAGTGACGGCTGGCGTGCAGTGTTTGGCGACGAGGCTGAGCTCCCCACCTGGCTAGAGCTGCAGCGCAACAAGGTGGATATCTTTGCTCTAGACTATGACACTATCCTTACTGCCATGTATGCTCTAACTAGAACTACTGAGGGTGACTGTTACATGTGTGTGCCCCCTGATCCTGGTATAGCGGCTGCTGCTCTAGGTGCTAGTGAGTCTGCTCTCTCTGGTACTGCGCCTGCTGAGGCCTTGCACACCTTTACACTTGACTCCGATGCTTCCCGCTGTTTCTTTCGCGACAGTACCACAGTCACTCCCCTCCCTGCACCTGTCCCTGTCTCACTGGCTGACCCCTCTGGGGGCCCAGTGCTTGCACGGTCCACTACTGTGCTTCCGTGTCCGGCGGTCCCGTCCGGTGAGCTGTCTGGTCTCCACCTCCCCTCGTTCTCTATGAACTTGGTGAGCAACGTCGTCCTTCAGGATCACTGGGTTGACACCTTTACTCCTAGAGGACAGCGTGTGGCGATCTGCACGTGCTCCAAGACTGGCCGCCACCTGGCCACGTTCACACGTGAGCCAGGGTCTAGTCTGTACACCCTCACCACTGTGTCGCGCTACACCCCTTTGTCTCCTCAGCTGTACGCGTCCGCTCAGGTAGCTACCCAGTGTGAGTGTCGCCGCCTGTCGCACGACACTCTCCTGTGGCACCACCGCCTTGGTCACCCCTCCGTGCCCCGCCTTCGTGGCATGCACTCTCGCTTCCTGGTCTCTGGTCTTCCCAGGTCTCTGCCCGCCCTCCCTCCCTCGCCTGCGCCGCCCTGCATTCCTTGCGTCGAGGGGCGGCAGCGCGCCGCTCCTCACTCCTCCTCGTTCCCTCCGACAGAGGCTCCACTACAGACTCTCCACCTGGACGTGTGGGGCCCCGCCCGCGTCCAGGGGCAGGGCCGCGAGCGGTACTTTCTGCTGGTCGTCGACGACTACACGCGTTACACCACGGTCTTCCCCTTGCAGCGCAAGAGGGATGTCCTTTCTGTTCGTCTCCAGCTCCGCGAGCGGTTCGAGTCGGACTTTCCTGTCCTGCGTCTGCACTCTGACAAAGGTGGTGAGGACCTCTTGGGAGCCTTCTATAAGGAGGAGGGCATCCGCCAGTCGTTCACGCTTCCGGCCTCTCCGCAGCAGAATGGGGTTGCTGAGCACCGCATTGGCTTAGTCATGGAGGTCGCTTGTACCTCCATGATCCATGCGGCTGCCCCGTTTGCGGTCCGGTACGCCGCGCATCAGCTCAACCTCTGGCCCCGTGTCTCCTTGCCGGAGACCTCGCCCACACTGCGTTGGACGGGGGAGGTTGTTGATGCATCGCGTTTTCGGGTCTAGGGTGCTCGTGCCTTTGTCCGCGATCTCACCGCGGACAAGCTCTCTGCTCGCGCCATTCCCTGTGTCTTCCTTGGCTTTCCTCCTGACGCGCCTGGCTGGCAGTTTTACGACCCCGCCTCGCGCCGTGTCTTTGCGTCTCAGGACGTCACCTTCAATGAGGCGGTCCCCTTTTACCATCTCTTTCCCTACCGCACTGCCCCTCTCCCCCCCCCCGCCGCTCTTTCTCGCTCCAGGTCCTCCCCAGGTAGACCCCCTCCCCCCTCCAGGTCCTGCTCCTTCAGGTGTGTCTCTTCACTAAGCCTGTTGAGGTCACTGGTGACTCAGGTCCTACTGGGGGTGGTCCTGCTCGGGGTGCTGAGCCTGGGGGTGCGGAGCCTGGGGGTGCTGAGCCTGAGCGTGCGGAGCCTGGGGGTGCTGAGCCTGAGCGTGCGGAGCCTGGGGGTGCTGAGCCTGGGGGTGCGGAGCCTGGGGGTGCAGAGCCTGAGCGTGAGGAGCCTGGGGGTGCTGAGTCTGGGGGTGCTAAGTCTTGGGGTATTGCGCCTGAGGGGTCTGAGGTTGCTGGTGAGCGGTCTCCTTGGAGTGGCCGCCTACGTAGTCACACTCGTCGGCGTGAGCCTCTCTCCCCACAGCAGCTACACGAGTGGTACGCTCGCCGTCAGGGTCGCGCTGCTGGAGCTCGGGGCTCTGCTGCCGTTGGTAGAGCTTCTGGTGACGTCACTGGAGCTAGGGGTGCCGGTTCAGAGGGTACTGGGGCTGGTGAGCGAGGAGCAGGTGACGCTGGAGCAGCTGGGTCTGCAGACCCTGCCGCAGGAGGTGCTGTTGGAGCTGCTGGCGCTCGAGCTGGGAGTGGTGCTGGTACTTTGTCTGCTGGAGGTGCTGGAGCCGCTAGTCCCTGAGGTGCTCGTACTGGAGGTACTGGAGCTGCTGGGGCTAGAGGAGCTGCTGGACCTGGTGGTCCTCCCGCTAGAGGTACTGGGGCTGGAGGCCCCGGAGCTAGTGGTGTCTACCCTGGAGCTGGAGGTGTCGGTTCTGGGGGTGCTGCTACTGGAGGTACTGAGGCTTGAGACCCTGGAGCTGGAGGTGTCGGTTCTGGGGGTGCTGCTACTGGAGGTACTGAGGCTGGAGACCCTGGAGCTGGAGGTGCCGGTTCTGGGGGTGCTGCTGCTGGTGGCGCTGGAGCTGGAGGTGCTGGCGCTGGAGGTTCTGGAGCTGCTGGAGGCGCTGGAGCTACTGGTGCTGGTGGCACTGCTGCCCAACGGCTGTTCTTCTCTCCGCCGTCACCGTCGTCTCTGCCGCCACCTGGCACTGTGCTTCGCCAGGTTCTTAGCCTCCCGTCGTCCACTGTCCTACCGTTACAGCCAGGCTCCCCACTACCTGCTCCCTCTCCTTACACTGAGCAGGCAGGAGGTCTTACTGAGCGTCGCGAGCCTGCGTCCCGTCCTGTCTCGCCTGCTTGCACCGTTCACACTGGTCATACTGGTCGTCGTGCTCCTCATGAGCGTCCTCCTCCAGTCCTTGGCACGCATTTTTTGTCCCTTCGTCCTTCCTCTGTTCCTCTGCGCATTCCCATGCCGTCTCCTCCTGTGTCTTCTCTGCCTGACGTTGCGGACCCTGAGTCTGACCTGGTTCATGTTGCTCACCTTGTCATGCGTCTGTTAGCCACTGTTGTCACTGACCCGTCGTTTGAGTCTGCTGCTGCGTCTGCCTTGGTCGCTGAGCTTGTTGACTTTGCTGCTGCCTTTCGTCTAGACTACGCTGCTAGCCTTGTTGTTGAGTCTGAGTCTGTCTGTCCTCCGTCTGTCGGGGGTGAGTGTGCTCTTGGCACGGACGTCCTTGAGGACAGACAAGAGGACCTTGAGTGTCTTGCGGCCACTGCGCCTCATCTCGTGGCCATGCTGCTTGCCCCTGAGGAAGACCCGGATGCACCAGACATCCCAACCCCGCGCTCTTACGCAGAGGCGATTTCGGGTCCCTACTCCTCTCAGTGGCAGACAGCCATGGACGTAGAGATGGCATCCTGGAAGTCCACA